CCATGCTTGTCGTAACGGGATCGCTGACGTGGTTGATGCATGTCATTGTATCCCAATTGCGGAGATCGGTGCTCATGATCTCAATCACTTGGACGATTACTAAAGACCGCCATCATATAGCTGAGTGGGGCGTTAAACCACTAACAAACAAACAAACACTACAATCGATTTACTCACATTCAGCGAAACCTCCTTACTCCGACCCTCGTTAATCCGGACAAAGCCAACTGGACACTTACTCCAAGGAACATATTACATGCATCATTACGATAATTCTTTCATCCGGACTATTACTCATGGGGCAACTGCACTGGTCGGTGCCCTCCGGGTGATTTCTTTCTTTCTTTCTTGTTTAAAGCCGCGCTCAGCAATATTCCAGCTTCTTTCAGTCACTGTGGCATTTAGAAGTTGGTGTGATGAAGTAAGACGAGTTCTATGGATGAACAACTTCTTTATTACAATTAGTGCGACGTTTCGGTGTAGATCCTAACACCTTTATCTAGCACCGAAACGTCGCACTAATTGTAATTAAGAAGTTGTTCATCCATAGAACTCGTCTTACTTAATATTCCAGCTATATGACGGCGGTCTGTAAATAATCGAATCTGGACCAGACAGTCCAGTGATTGACATCATGAGCGGATGAACGAGGTTTCACTGTAACTGATCAGTGCATGGAGACTGACGTAATGCACTAGCCTCAGCAGGGTCAGCACAACTAGGACAATATTACATTCACACATGACCACCTTACTGTAACAACCACTCCTATCCACGGGAGAAAGATTGATGGGAGCTGCTGCTGCTGCTGCTGATGATGATGATGATGGGTTATTTACCTGTGTGCATATCGCAGGACCCGGATAATGGACGGGTACAACATAGCCGTACGGACCCCTGCTATAGGGTAGCATCTTCCCGCTCCGCTACAACAAGATCACGTGTTATTTGTAAACACACTCTACATGCTCACGGATGTCAGGGGTCAGGCCACGTAAAGAAATCCTTGATTCTCGCCACGGACCGACCCTACAAAACATATATGATCCTAAAAAAAATTAAAAAATTGGACTCGACATTGGACATTGGACTCGACAAAGGCTCCCACAGTACAATTTGTATTCCTAACATATGATATGTACAATACGGCGAGTGAGTGAGTGAGTGAGTGAGTGGGATGTATGGCTCTACGCCGATTTTAGCAATATTCCAACAATTTGACGGCAGGAAGGGAATAGAACCCGGGCTTTCGGCGTGACGAGCGAACGCGTTAACCACAAATCAGCAAATAATCGCATTAAAGGTTCGAAACTCTATTCTTATCTCGAATGCGAGATAAGCGGTCAAATTTAGATGTATTTATATTGGGAGGCGGTGGGGACTATAGACAAGGTTCGAGATATCGGTACATTCGAATTAACGGATTTCGAGGTCAGGTCCGGCTGTATGTCATTGTTTTCATTTAGTACAATTATGGAATATAAAACTAAAATGTCACAACGCTTTTTTTAAAAGAAACAAGAACGTTCTTGATGTGGCCTTAGGGCGGATCTCCCTCGAGGTAGTTTAATGGGATCTATATCCATTTTGTCTCGTGTGTCACTTTTGATAAATCTCAACAGGCGTTGCAAGATATAATATTCATGCAGTCTCGCCCGGGGCTAGAATTAACGTTACAGACACATAGCTCGTGAGAGGGGGACGCATTTAGGTCATGAAATATCGCCTCCCGCGTTTCATCAAACAACAGGTTTGTGTTTTGCTTGTCGTTACGATCATAAAAAAGGCCGATGAAACACGTAATAACGTACACACGTACTGGCCTAATGGTTGTGAAATACCGGCATGTAATAAGCCATTTCTCATTCGGGTCTAATCGGCTTTTTCCGTTCCCTACATAATACCTCATGAGGTTTGTGTTGTATTCGTTCTCTCTGAAGATGGTGCCATTGAAATGCTTCCACTGTTTCGCCGGATTCAACAATGGTTTTTTTGTTTGTTTTAATTTGGGTTTTTTTAATTTGTTTTGTGTGTTTTTGTTGTGTGTTTTTTTTTGTTTTTTTTTGTTTGTTTTTTTGTTATTTGTTGTTTGTTTGTTTTTTTTGGGGGGGGGGGCCCGAAGTGAGGCAGGTCTTAGATGGTCTTAACCTCGGTCTTAACCCCACTGGGATGGGGCTGACAAACCTAGAACCCTAATCAGGGCGATAAAACTGCCTGAAACCATGGAGTAGGGATATTTCACTATTTGACTCTAAACCACATACCGACGGACCCCTCCGCATATATTTCGTACAAAAATATCATGACGGCTGTTTTTAAGAAACAGCTTTTAATCTTTTAGATTATATATAGAATTGGATACGAACAAGAATCATGTTTGGATCACATTGCCGCCACACTGAATGTGGTGCTTATTGTGATAGTCACGAGAACTAGTGCAACTAGTTATTCAAATATGGATTCCTCACAATGCCGGCGGGCGGTGGGTAGCCAAGTGGTTAAAGCGTTAGCTCGTCACGCCGAAGATCCGGGTTCGATTCCCCACATGGATACAATGAGCGTCCTGATAGTGCTGAGCTATTGCTAAAAGCGGCGTAAAACCATACTCACTCACTCACAATGTTTGCTAGGATCACTTATAGCACTGACGTGAGTCGAGTGGGTGGATGTGATAGTTACTATGGAGTCGAGTTGGTTGCTATGTTGTCTACATTCCGCCATGACATTATCATAACATTTTTTTAACATTATGGACATTAAAAGATATACTTTATGGCCATTTAAAGGGTCCATATTGTTTGACTTTTTAAATGTGGACCAGGGTTAATTTAGTCTCATTAAAATCAGAACTTAGTTCTCGCTATAAACCAAACAAAACTCGGATCTGATTGTAATGAGATGTGGATGACTGGCTGCATCAGACACTTAGTTTGAATCAAGTACCCCAGGCCAATTTTGTTTTTTCTGCTCGCTCAAAAATTAGAATTAGGAGATAAACTTATGAACAGTTGACCTGGACATAGACTGGAAATGGCACCCGACCCGTGGACAGGAGAAGGGTGTCTTAACATACACTATCAACTTCTCAAGAAGTAGTTATCATTTCTTAATTGCAAAATTTAAAGACAATAGTTTGATGTTGTTTTTAGTTGGTTAGTTAGTTAGTTAGTTAGTTAGTTAGTTAGTTAGTTAGTTAGTCATTTATTTAGTTAGTTAGTTTCTAGTTAGTTATTTCTTTAGTTATTTATATATTTAGTTAGTTATTTTTTTAGTTGTTTTTGTTGTTTTTGTTTTTGTTGTTTTGTTGTTTTTTTGTTTTGTTGTAATTCTATCATTGCATTATTTCTTTTATAGTTTACTTTTTTAGATTGATGGTTGTTGGAGCATCTTTTTTACATCAAGATTCCACGTTTTTACAACCCTGTACAATACAACATGCAGTCTATCATGACATTAAACAAACTTGATGAACAGAGATACAATGACACTGTGATATAGAATGCTTTTGACTGGCACTGTCAGTCTTGGCACGGAGTTGACAGTTTTCGTGTGCATAACTTCACTTATTTTATCTATCTCTATGGTGGGTTGCTAAGGAATTAAACAAAAAAAATTAAATCTATTATTATTATTATAATTATTATTAACACCTTTTTTTCAGTTATAGCAGGCGTGTCAGCTTCATGTGGAAAGAAAGCCTGAATCGAAGTCTCAGATGTTTACTTCTTTTGGTGAAACCCACGAGCACGGGTATGGTGCTGACAAACTTTTATAACTGGCTGGACTGCATAAATGACTGTATAACAGGCTCTTTGATGCATAAATGTGGTTTGATTCATAAAAAAAACTCTTCTTTTTGTTTGTAATGGACAGATTTGGTAGTTCTACAGGTAAATGGACGCCATCTTGGACGTCGTCTTCGACTTTTCGAAAACTAGGTCACGTGGGTCGGGCACCGCCCTAAATTATTGTTAAGAATGATATCCCAAAGAGTTATGCAAAGTTTCATGCTTTAATCCAGTCTGCAACGATTCTTCACCTCAACGACCTCACAAAGAAGCAGTATCGGGAAGAACGGGATTCGAACCCACATTCATAGATTTTTCTGACGTGCCCAAGGGACGCAACTCTGTACAGCAAATTGGGGCGCCTGAGATGACTGGGCCACTCGCCACCCCCTCGTCTAATGTCATAAACATACATTCCTTGGGGTGAATAACGTTGTCCGATGTGATAACGTGCGTGTGTAACATATCACCCACATCCCAGCTATATCCTGTCTGCCTGTAAATAACCGAGTATTGGGCAGGTAAGCCAGGTCAGGTCAGGTCAGGTCAGGTAAGCCAGGTCAGGTCAGGTAAGCCAGGTCAGGTCAGGTCAGGTCAGGTCAGGTCAGGTCAGGTCAGGTCAGGTAAGCCAGGTCAGGTCAGGTCAGGTCAGGTCAGGTCAGGTCAGGTCAGGTCAGCCAGGTCAGGTCAAGTAAGCCAGGTCAGGTCAGGTCAGGTAAGCCAGGTCAGGTCAGGTCAGGTCAGGTAAGCCAGGTCAGGTCAGGTAAGCCAGGTCAGGTCAGGTCAGGTCAGGTCAGGTAAGCCAGGTCAGGTCAGGTAAGCCAGGTCAGGTCAGGTCAGGTCAGGTCAGCCAGGTCAGGTCAAGTAAGCCAGGTCAGGTCAGGTCAGGTCAGGTCAGGTAAGCCAGGTCAGGCCGGTAAGCCAGGTCAGGTCAGGTAAGCCAGGTCAGGTCAGGTCAGGTCAGGTCAGGTCAGGTCAGGTCAGGTCAGGTAAGCCAAAATATAAAAATAACTCATTATCTCCCTTTGCTCGCCCTTCGCAACCAACAAGACTGTTAGAGACTGAGACAAGTGACTGCTTTCCGCGACCTGCATGCGCTGGTCTTGGGTCCGATTCCCAGAATCTCCACGATTATAACGCTTGTTTCTTGTGTCGTTTACTAAAATACTGTGCAGATTCGAATTAAAGCAAACTCGCACTCCCACGTCAGGTGTAGGATATTTGACGGCATTGTGTTATCATTGAACGACAGGTGTTAGTCTCTCACGTGGGATTTCCTCCTGCGACGTTTACAGTATGGCTGTCTTGAAAATATGTGTCCTATTATTGGCAATTGTAAGTTGGAAATGTACTATTGTCAGTCGCACTACTGTCTGTCTGTCTATTTCTCCCTCTCTCGCTCTGTCTCTCTAGCTCTCGCTCTTCCTCTCTCTAACTCTCTCGCTTTCTCTCTCACGCTCTTTTTCTCACTCTCTCTCTAACACTCACTTTCTCTTTCTCTCTCGCCTTCTCACTCTCTCTCTCTTCTCTCGTCTCTCTCTCTCTCTCTCTCTCTCTCTCTCTCACACACACACACACACACACAATTACACACACACACACACACACACACACACACACACACACACACACACACACACACACACACACACGAACAGACACATGCCTGCAAAATGTCCATGTGTGATTGTGTCATGCACAAGTACCATCTTTTAACGTCTTTGATATGATGCGCCGAGACGCTTCACCCACTAGGCCAAGCATGCGGTTGAAATCTACTCAGACGAAACAGTAAAGAACAACACCTGGACAGATCCGGACAACACGATGACCAAACTATCTACTGCTGAAGTCAAGAATGTACATAACTGGGTTACACCCGTCAGCGTATGACATCCTCCTGTCACTGTCACGCCTTGAAAACACGGATACAGCACACCAGAACTACCCATCTGTCCACGTGCGGCCTCCACGCGTCATGTTGACAAACACGGAGGCTGTCCTTTTGGAATGAAAACCTTTCAAAAAATTGGGAGACACGAAAAGGTTAATGAACACCGAAAACACCATGTATTGTCGACTTACCTGAGCGTCCATCCTCTGTGAGCTGCAGGCTTACATGAGCAACACATTCCCCGCCCGACCCCCAACATGAGCTGCATAGTAAACAAGGCAACGTCATGAGAAAGCCTTCAAGTATAACGCTCAGCTTAAACCCCAATAGCGCGACTGGCATGGTTTGTTTTATATGATATTTAATAATGGCGAATATCAGGTTGGGTATCTATGAAATATGAACTTCATCATGGCTGAATACATGTATATAGAAGTTTCATTTTAACACGTACTGTTTATACTCTCGTTAGTCCATACCCCGTTAGGTCGGGGGCCGTTAGTCTGGAAACCGTTTATTCAGAAACCGTTAAAAGGGAAAATTGTGTAACGGTTAATGTTGATCTACGTATGCTAAAAGGGACATGGTTCGATAGTCCGGACATTTCTCTGGCACGGTACTAGTTGTAGGGGTGTCTTTGTATACTCTACAGCAAGTTCACTTATGCGTTCATTCATAATGCCACGGTTGAGGTTCTAGTGAGTGAGTGAGTGAGATTTGACGCCACTTTTAGCAATATTCCATAAATACCACAGAGTGGTGACAACCCACGAATGGCCTCCATATTCCACTTTTCCATGTTGGAAATCAAACCCCCCGATGTCTTCGAGAGGAGCCGACGCTTTAACCACTAGGCCACCACACCGTCCATTATGGAATTCTACAACATCTTCTACAACGACTACTGCTACGATTACTAGCCCGACAACTACATTCTCTACTAGTCCTGATGCTATATTCTCATAAACAAGTAGGGTACCATGAACTATAAATGTTATGATCGTTCGCCTGAACAAAGATCAGCTTTGAAACACAAGTCCAGGATCGATTAATCAGACACCAGACTGAAATCGAGCCCAAACAGCCAATCAAATCGCAGTTCACTAAAGCCAGGGCATCGGCGAAAACGTCTGCAAGCAGCTAATCTCCATGTTCGGCGACAACGTGTTGCACCACCGTTAACAAAGAGACAGTCTACCCATTATGTTGAGAGCTTAGAAACTGGCGAATTGGCGATGGTCTCGTGTAATGTTTCCAGATGAGTCCAGATTTAATATGGACTTTCTGATAGGCGTGGACTAGTCTGGAGGCATTCTAACGAACGACATGCGAACACCAATGCAAGCAAACATGATAGAATTGGTAGTGGGTATGTAATGATATGGGAACATCATCATGGAGCAGGAGAAAGTCATCCTAAAAATTCATCTTTTAACTACCCACTCCTGCGTCTTTAAATTTCTTGTTTTTTGTTGTTGTTTATTTATTTTTATTTTTTATTTATTTATTTTTTTATTTTTTTGGGGGGTGTGTGTGTTTTGTTGTTGTTGGTTTTTGTTTGGTTTTTGTTCGAATCCCGGTTCGCCCCGATTATGTTTCTAGGTTTGTCAGCACCATACCCGTGCTCGTGGGTTTCACCGATGTGGTAAACGCCTGAGACCTGCATCACTTCGGGCTTTCCTCCCACGCCGCGATATTGCTGGAAAACTGTTAAAAGCGGCGTTAAACCAAACTCACTCACTCACTCACTTGTTTTTTGCACCCTTACAAGACACCACCACCATGTTCTGTTGCTGTCATGTTACACCTTCCTTGTTGGTCTCCATCCATTACCGCCACTCGATACCTCTTTGTATTTCTGAAATCAGCTGCCATATTCGACTATCCCCAACTCTTTAGGAGAATGTATATTAACTACAACTGCAGGAACTGGGTCGTCTTCTCCACAGGCTGTGTCGGCAACCACAGGGGCTCTCCTTCAACTCCCAAAGACCAAGTCCTGCTTGAATGATGGGGAATGCGGGTCGGGAGAGTGCTGTGCCAAGCAGCTGGGGCCCCTCATCATGAGCAGGCGACGGGATGCGTTCACGACCCCCGACCCTGCCACTGTAGAAGGTGGGGGCGTTATTAGTTGTTTATTTGTTTAACGCCGTACTCAGCAATATTCCAGCTACATGACGGCGGTGCGTAAATAACAGACAATCCAGTCATTGATATCATGAGCATCGATCTACGCGATTTGGGATACGATATGCATCAATCAAATCATCGAGCCTAACCACCCGATCCGTTTAGTCGCCTCTTACGACAAGCATAGTCGCCTCTGACGACAAGCATAGTCGCCTCTGACGACAAGCATTGTCGCCTCTTACGACAAGCATAGTCGCCTCTTACAAGTATAGTCGCCTCTTAAGGCAAGCATTGGTTGGTAACCCGGATCCTCACGGGTGTTGCCCTGTAAAGACACAAAATTAAAATCGCCGCCTTTTTTCGTAGAAAATACAGGGACAATGCCTGATTTTCAAGTATGACCCAGAAGACAAGATCTGGACTCGTAAGAAGGGAAACGGGCTGCCCAGTCGTCTACGGTGCCGCGATTCGCTGTGCAGAGTTGCGTCCCCTCGGCACGCCAGACACCTATTATCGTGGGTTCGAATCACGGTTCGCCACGCTCATGTTTCTAGGTTTGTTAGCACCATACCCGTGCTCGTGGGTTCGACCAAAGTCGTGAATGTCTGTGACTTGCATCACTTAGGGATTTTCTCCCACATTAAGCTAAAACAGTGTGATATAACTGGAGTACTGTTAAAGTGGCGTTAAACCAAACTCACTCACTCTTGACAGAGATATTGCAACCAGACCCTGGAGCGAATATCGCATGGTTCTAATGCTGGGACATCATAAACTGCCAGGAATTAGAAAGTTTACACTTCGATATTACAAACGTTATCAAAACGTTACTAGGCTGAAAAAAGCTGCAACTTAAGGTGAAGTGAGGTGAAATGGGGTTTAACGTCGCGTTCAAGCTTATTGCACTTATTTAGCGACGTGCATGCACGTGTGTGTGTGTGGCTGCTTGTACTAGTCCGGACTAATGCCGATTTTATAGTGCTAGTTCACTGAGATACTCTGCCGCAGTTTAACACGAATACCCCAAACACAGTATACTGACTCTGAGCCGACCAGTCCTTGCTTTATCCCTTTAATCCCAAGCGCCAGGCATGGTAACAAGTACTATTTTTTAACGTCTTTCTGGTAGGACGCGCTCGCGGATCGAATCCCTGACCTTCCCCTTTCAGGGTAGACGCTCTGCCACAAGGCCGCGGAGTTGCTCGCAAATTTAGATCCAACCCACAACTATGATACCAGTATCAAATTCATCACCATCGAGAACCATTTCTTGTTTGTTTCATGATTAGCCACTATCCAACATGGGTGCAAACCTTCTTTTGCTCGGCAGTGCATGAAAAATGACGCGGTTTTTTAGCAATGTTGGAATGGCAAAAACAAGATTGAATGTGTGAGTGGCGTTAACTCCTCAGATTCCTGATTTGGCATCATCCTCGTGGTGTTCAAGTAGGCATGACACCATCTTCCCGCGGCAAGGGTTTAAACTGACCGTGAAAGTTTCCACCCTTGCCGACCCAGGCTGGAAATCCATGGCTCGATCGATCGTAGCGCCACCAGTGATTATTACGAGTTATGTCCCTTTTATTTCTCTCCAATTGACCAATCAGATTCAACCTCTCACATCACTTTTGCTTCAAACACCATGAAAGAGCCCAGTTAAGACGATCTGATCGATAGTCAATATCTATATTATAATAAAACGGGTCTTACCTCGCGATGTCCATCAAATCACTTAAGCACCTTTATTAAAAGCATGAAAATATTTGGAAAATATCTGTCGCCGCCTAGTTGCCGGGATACAAATCCTGCTGGCGAAATAGACTCGTTTGTCCAGCCGAAATGTAACTCCTGAATTCCAGCCTCATTCAGTTAAACCCTTTGCCTCGGGAGATGATTCTTATGCCGTATTAAGCTGATACGCCTATATGGCTGGAATAGTATTCAAAGCGGTTTTAACCCTGATACTTAATGTAGGTTCGAATCGTTGGCTGTGATCTCGCCCCGGTTGTGATCCTTGGTGAGTGTATGAGTGAGTGATATTGCTTAAATCCATATCACTCACTCATTCACTCATTCATTTAACTGAAACACCGTGATATATCTAAAATGATATTCAAAATCGGCGTTTCACTCACTCACTCACTCACTCACTCACTCTTGCAGGAACCTGTAAGCCGTACCTGAAGCACGGAGAGTGGTGTGGTGGAGTCTGGACTCAGAACGGCTTTTGTGGGTGTGCCCCCTCCCTCACGTGCCACCGCTACCCACCCGTCGTCCCAGTGACTCGCCGGAAGAGGAAGATGTTGGCCGGCACCTATCTGTGTGAGCCCAAGGAAATGGGCCCCTAGGTCGCCATGGAGTATGCCGGATACGTATCATAGGAATATAAAAAAAACATGCAGACAAGATCTATTATGTGTTTGTTTGTTTCTTTCTTGGATTATACCAAAGAAGAAAATGGAAATGACATAGTTAAGTTATTTGGTGAGATTGGGTCATTGTTTTGAATGATTTGCCCAAAACGTTAATCAAGGATTTCATTTGTGTCAGCTGAATGTTGGCGCTAAGCCCAGCCAACGACTTAGGTCGTTGACCCACGACATGATGAAACCTGGGATCGTAATCAGAGCGAATCTGGGATTCGAACCCGTGTTCACCTGATACTGGCAAGGCAAAGGAACGAACTTTGTTTTCCGACCCAAGTTGACGGGAAAAGAGGCAAATACCAGAGATTCATTAAACCTGATTTAATCCTATTAATCCTGTGAAAATTAATCCTGTTTTATTACTGTTCATCCTGTGATCATTAATCCTGTTTTTTTCCTGCTAATGTTGTCATTAACCCTGTGTTTTATTCCTGTTAATTTTATCATCATTAACCCGGTTTTATTTCTGTTAATTTTGTTAGCATTAATCCTGTGTTTTATTCCTGTTAATGCTGTGATCATTAATCCTGTGTTTTATTCATGTTAATGCTGTTATCATCAACCCTGTGTTTTATTCCTGTTAATACTGTTATCATTAACCCTGTGTTTTATTCCCGTTAATTTTGTCATCATTAACCCTGTTTTATTTCTGTTAATTTTGTTATCATTAATCCTGTGTTTTATTCCTGTTAATGCTGTGATTATTAATCATGTGTTATATTCCTGCTAATGTTGTGATCATTAACCCTGTGTTTTATTCCTGTTAATGTTGTTATCATTAACCCTGTGTTTTATTCCTGTTAATGCTGTTATCATTAACCCTGTGTTTTATTCCTGTTAATTTTGTTATCATTAGCCCTGTGTTTAATTCCTGTTAATTTTGATATCACTAACCCTGTGTTTTATTCCTGTTAATTTTGTTATCATTAACCCTGTTTTATTCCTGTTAATTTTATTATGATTAACCCTGTTTTATTCCTGTTAATTTTGTTATCATCAACCCAGTTTTATTCCTGTTAATTTTGTTATCATTAGCACTGTTTTATTCCTGTTAATTTTGTTATCATTAATCCTGTGTTTTATTCCTGTTAATGCTGTGATTATTAATCATGTGTTATATTCCTGTTAATGTTGTGATCATTAACCCTGTGTTTTATTCCTGTTAATGTTGTTATCATTAACCCTGTGCTTTATTCCTGTTAATGCTGTTATCATTAACCCTGTGTTTTATTCCTGTTAATTTTGTTATCATTAGCCCTGTGTTTAATTCCTGTTAATTTTGATATCACTAACCCTGTGTTTTATTCCTGTTAATTTTGTTATCATTAACCCTGTGTTTTATTCCTGTTAATTTTATTATCATTAACCCTGTTTTATTCCTGTTAATTTTGTTATCATCAACCCAGTTTTATTCCTGTTAATTTTGTTATCATTTACCCTGTGTTTTATTCCTGTTAATTTTATTATCATTAACCCTGTTTTATTCCTGTTAATTTTGTTATCATCAACCCAACATTCCCTCGCTCACTTTCGATGCATTTCGAGGTGGGGTAGCCTCGTGGTTAAAGCGTTCGCTCGTCACGCTGAAGGCCCAGGTTCGAATCCCCACATGGGTACAATGTGTAAAGCCAATTCTTATTGTCCCCCGCCGTAATAGCTAGAGTATTGCTAAAAGCGACGTAAGACCACACTTACTCGTTCGTTCACTCAATGAATTGTCGTGAGAGACTTAATGCATCGGATTCTTAGGCTCCGGCCGTTGATTACAATATTAGTCACTGGGTTGTCTGGTGCAGACATGATTATTATTAGGCCACAGTTCTACAGCTGGAATATTGCGTATGGCGTTAAACAACACTCACACCCACACGCATTCACACCATCTTCCCGAGGCAAGGGAGTTAACTGACCCTAAACGTCCAGTTTCCATCCTTGCCGAACTAGGCTGGAGTTTCTGGGCTCGATCGTAGCGGCACCAGTGGCTATTAAGAGTTATGTCCCTTCCAAGTTCCCCCTATGACCAATCAGATTCCAACTCTCATATCACTGGCATTTGATTGGACTTTTACAGTCAGTTAACACCCTTGCACTCACACACACTCACATACACACTCACTCACACACAAACACACTCTCAGTCACACACTCGCATCTCACACACTCACATACACACTCACTCACACACAAACACACTCTCACTCACACACTCGCACATCCACTCACAAAATTAAAACAAATCTTTCATTGCGCTTTAGAATTAGTTCATATTGTTATTGCTTCACACAAGAAACAAACCCTTTGCATATCTGAGTGGTCAAAATGTCGCATTGTCGCGCTATAATAGACACTGTCTGCTGGTTTTTGTAAGGGCAGCACCGCGACAAAGCCCCTATAAAATTTCCATAAGATAGGCCACCCAATATCCTATTCTTACTTGCCCCATATGTCCGGAAGCGCCACCGCTGGATCATTACTGTTTGTTTGTTTCTTCTTCTTTTTTCATTTAGTCGCCTATCACTCGGATCCCCAATTGGGGTGTGTATTGTTAAGATAGTCTAAATCAATAGGCAATACTATACATCCTTGTTTCGTTAATCCGGACATGTGTTACTCCGGACCATTTCACTGGAAACTGTATCACTTCTTTGAGTGGCATTTAGAAGTTGGAATGGTAACTAAGACAAAATTGTTATGGATTAGCAACTTCTTAGTATCCTTGTGTTAATCCCATACCCATCAATCACTGTACATCAACCCTATCTCTTGTATAAACTTGTTTATCATAACTACCTATCAATCAGTGTACATCAACCTTATCTGTTATATAAACATCTATCTATTGTTATGTATATATATCATGCTCATACCTAGTTTGTACATCATTTGCTTGATAACGGTGTTAGAATCTACACCGAAACGTCGCCCAATTGTAATAAAGAAGTTGCTGATCCATAACAATTTTGCCTTAGTTAGGAAACTGTATCGTCTGGATGAACGAGGGTGTATTCTACTTTAACACCTGTTATTGTTAATACGTCACATTTAATCTCAGGACACTTCTCTCAACCTCCAGATAACCCACTTTTACCTATCTCTGACCTATAACCTAGGAACAAGTCAGATTTTTTCCACAGATTTCGGCAAACATGGCTCCAACATATGTATCTGGATTATTGCTAACTCTTCTCGTAAGTTCACCTTCTGAAACTAGATCAATACTAAGTTTGATTAACACAAACAAAGAGCTATTGTAGCCACTGTTTAAATTTCATATTTATTATTATTTTCCCTCATAACCATAATTTGAAGGAACTCGGTCGCAGATAACAATTATCGCCAACCCGAAAGCCCAGATTTATATACATGTACAACTTAAAGAACACCAGACTTTTTTTCTTCTTAATCTGTCATGGCTGGTGGGTATTGCATAATACAACTTTTCAATTGTGGATGTTCTTTAACTTGTTTTGAGTAGTATATATTGAATATTTCGTCACAATGTTTCACATGTACCAGACATGTGTCTGTTGCGCTACCGAATGCTCTTTTAAGTAAGTGAATGAGTGACTTTCTACAGTAGTCCACTTGCATAACGGCGTGCTTACACGCTACGGTGCTTACAAGCTAAGAATCACAATCAGTGCTAATATGGGGCTCCAAACCACGATCATAAGATTCTGACACGCCTAAGGGGCGCAACTCGGAACACGAACTGTGGCGCTTGAGACAACTGGACCACCCGTGTCTCAACTATAAAGTCATCGGTGTCGTCCCGAAGTGTCTCAAATCTAAAATAGAGGTAATTTGGGGATAAGAAACTTCGATGCTATCAAGTATTTTCCCTGGTTCGGGGTCGGTTAAGGACCTTTGCACTAAGTACTTTCGACATTTCGGTGCTGTCTAAAGAAACCAAGACATATACATATACAGTCACCGTTAATTAATTCAGTGTAACAGCCAGCACGAGTGTATGTCTTCTCTGCTTCCACGAAGTGTGTACAGCTGGTTGAAAACGGATAGAATGTTCCGTCGCCGTCAATCACTTCACAACTTACTTGAATGTTCCAATTTCGTGGCAAAGACAAGTGTCCTCTTGCCGTCCCTATCGTCGCCAATCAGACATCATCGCCACAGTTACTTCGCGCCTTCTGGTTCAAATTCAGCTCGGGTCCTAGGAAAGTTCGGAATAGTCTTGTGTCTGACACGGTACATGATTCGAACAGTGGAATGTTCTGAACAGAGCTCCAGGTGACTTTTTTTAGCAATTGGGTTTTTAGGTTATAGGTTATAGGTTATAGGGTTTTCCCCAAAATTAGTGAACATTCAAACTGTCCTGCAGATTTCGGTCGATTGCAGAATTTCTAAAGCATGTGCACGCCAATTCGTTGTTAACAGAAATTTTCCGGATCTTTTCATGTTTTTAATCAAGGTGCTGTCGTGATTTGATGCACTTCGTGATGTAACACTCGTTTTATCGCTATATAGATCTTGATTATCGATCAGTACGTCTTGACTTGGCGTCGCCATTTTGTTTAAAACAAATGCAAGTGATACGAGAGGTGGAATCTGATTGGTCCAAAGGAGAGGCTTAGTTAGGGACACAACTCGTAGTAACTCGAATACCAGCCTGGATGGGAAACTGGACTTCTAAAATCAGTTAACTCTCTTGCCTCGGGAAGATGGTTTTTGTGGATTTTATGTTCAGTTAACTCTCTTGCCTCGGGAAGATGCATGTATGGTTGTTTGTTTGTTGCTTACCGCCGCACTCAGCAATATTCCACTATATGACAGCGGTCTGTAAATAATCGAGTCTGGACCAGATAATCCAGTGATTGATATCATGAGCATCGATCCACGCAATTGAGATACGATGACATGCATCAACCCAGTCAACGAGCCTGACCACCCGATCCTGTTAGTCGCCTCTTTCGACAAGCATTGGTTCTTTAAGACGTATTCTACCCCGGATCTTCACGGGACCCGTAGTATGTATACAGTACATGTGTACCAGGTTGTTATAATTATCAACTCACGTGATTTGATAAAGTGTTGGACACTCTAGTTAAAAATTGTCTTTTTATTCTTTTCTACTGTATGCAAGATCAAAGAGTGTAGTTGACGTGCGTATTTACCCTGATAATGTCATCAACAATATTTCCGTTTCCATTATGTTGGCTTCAGGTGCCGGTGGTAGCATGCAGTGTGTTGAGCCGTCTTCCTGTACAACAGGTGTGTATGGCCGACACTGACTGTGCCCAGAACGAATGCTGTGGGAAACGGACCGGCCCTCTGATTGTAAGCAAACGTCAGCTCAGCTCCATACAGGGTACGTACATAATGGCATGCGTTTACAGCAGATACATCTGTGAAGCCATTCTGGTTAGAGTGAGTGAGTATGGTTTTACGCCGCTTTGAGCAATATTCCAGCAATATCACGGCGGGGGACACCAGAAAGGGGTTCACACATTGTATCCATGTCGGGAATCAAACCAGGGTCTTCGGCGTGACGAGCGAACGCTGCAACCACAAGGCTACCCGACCGCCCCTAGGTTGGTTAGCCCGAAGAGAATAAAGATAAATATTTCAACATCAAAGTGCGACTATGTTCCATTGTCTTCTTAGAATAGGTCTTCAGCAACCCATGCTTGCAATAAGAGGCGACTATGCTTAGCGTAAGAGGCGACTAACGGGATCAGGTGGTCAGGCTGCTCACTTGGTTGATGCATGTTGATACTCATGATGTCAGTCACTGGATTGCCTGGTCCAGACTCGACTATTTACAGGCCGCCGTCATATTGCTGGAATATTGCCGAGTGTAGTGTTAAACAACAAACAAACATACAAACTTGTGTCAGTAGGGAAACAAAGCGATTTGTAAACGACGTGAATGAGACATATTCTTGGCCTGGCAAGTTACCTAAGCAAGTAACTCCCGACACACGCTAAACAATCCACATGGATGCTCTTCGTAAAGCATTTAATGAGTGAGTGAGAATACTTTTAACCGCTAGGCTACCCTATCGCCTCAAGCAATATCACAGTGGGGGACGCCAGAAATGGGCTTCACAAATGTAAATTGTTAATAACATGACATGCTACATTTTTTTAGAGTTTGACGTTTTCTACACGATGAGTGACCCTGTCTACGCTTTTCACCCACGAGTGTCTGTACTACCAATAAGATACATCAAAAATTCATACACGTTTTCTACTTGACCGTTGTTTTTAAATGTATTGAAGGGCAACTGAGCTGCATAAAGGTAAAGGGGGCAGAGGGATTTGACCTTCATAAAGTCCTCTTTAGTGTTCAGACCCGCCGATCGACAGAAAGTCAAAGAATCTGTATAGCAATATTGACCTTCCATACCATTTGGTTAAACACTCATGTTCAAAGGAGTAGCCCTCTGATTTTTGCAGTTTTCCATAAAGTGGTGTGTTTTCATGAATTGAGAATAATCAAAACTCTTGTCACATCTCACGACAATGAGCTGTTGAGAACGTATCACACAGTATTTTAAATTAGAAGACTATTGGTATGCTAAGGCCGCTTCTTGTGGAACTGAAATGGTTAATGTAAGGTTTACGAAAAGCTTGACGAGAGGGTATAAAGACTGACCATTAAATGGCCATGTATAGCGTGTAATAATCCAATAATTATAAACGTGTTGTCTTCCACAGGAACATGCAAGCCGTACTTACACGAAAATGAGTGGTGCTATGGTCAGTGGAAACAAAATGGCGACTGCGGCTGCGCTCCGTCGCAGACGTGCCAGTATTTCCCGCCGACCACACCCACACTCATCCAAGCCATTGGGAAACGCCGACCAGCGCCTGGGGAATACCTCTGTAAACACAAGCAGTGAGATATATAATATATACATATGTAAACTGGGACCCAAAATAAAATGTTTCCGATTATAAATGCCAACGAAGTAGTATTTTGGTAACATGTAATAAGTACATGGCAAGGGCGGATCCAGCATCTCATTGTCGTAAGAGGCGACTAACGGGATCTTGTGGTCAGGCTCACCGACTTGGTGGATGCCTATCATCGTTTCTCAACTGCGTACTTCGATGCTCATGATGCCAATCAATATTTGTCTGGTCCAGACTCGATTATGCACAGGCCGCCATCACATCTGGAGTAGTGCTGGGTGCCGTGTAAAACAACACACGAACGAATATTGCAGTCATTGAACACTGTGTTGTGGGGTGGTCTCAGTCTATTAGTCCGTGGTTTGCCTGGCTCGATTATGTACCGGCTGCCAACGAATTTCAGGTTTGTACGAATAATTACACATTTCAAAGCATACACAAGCTGATAAAATCTGATCTGTTGCTCTGATAGTATACTCCTCTGGTTGACGATTTGAGGATACCACAATTGTAGTCCGGTCGATCTGAACGAAATAAATCAAACACAGAAAAGAAATATATGCTCAATTGCGCCCCTCACTGGGTTTAGATGCCACGTTGGTCAGAAACAACAGGATGCATACAACATCACAACAATGTAACAGCACGGCTTTATTATTTGCATTTGGAACTTGCCAATCATATTCTTGATTATATTGGAGACATAGCAATCACATTTTCGTGTTTGAATGCTTTGCTCACTCGTACGGAGAATTTAGAATCCCGACGTTGATTACCTGATTAGAAAGTTGATCTTATGCTAGCTCTCCTCCCAGCTTCGGGCAGACAGGGACGCATATATGAAGTAAAAGGTCTGATAAGGGAAGTTTGTTAAATGGACTTTGATTTATGCACTCTTGTCAGATAAATAAGGTTGTCTCGATCCTTCATTAAAAAAGTATTTCAGTTATATCATGGGTGTCAGCCAGGTGTAGGGGAAAAGCCTTAAGTTTCCTACACTGTAGTGTGATGAAATCCACAGGCACTGGTATGGTCCTGACAAACCAATAGTCATCAGGCCGAATCTGGGACTCGAACCCAGGATCCCAGGACAGTGGACACCATTGGGACATACACTAGTGATTGAGTTATACTATGGTTTTAGCAATATTCCATCAATATCATGGCAGGGACACCAGAAATGGGCTTCACATGGAACCCCCAATGATACCAAGAATAGGTGAGGTGAAATGGGGTTTAACGTTGTGTCCAAGATTATTGCACTTATATAGCGACCTGCATGCACCTGTGTGCGTCTGTGTGGTTGCTTGTACTAGTTGGGAGACTGATGTCGATTTATAGTGCTACCATGCCGCAGTTTTAACATGAATACCCACTCAGATACAGTTCACTGACTCCGAGACGTCCAGTCCTTGTTTTAGCCCCTTAATGCCAAGCACCAGACATAGTAAAATCAACAAGTACAATCTTTTAACGTTTTTGGTATGACGCGGGCGGGGATCGAACCCCGGCCTTACGTTGTTTACCGCCACAGTCAGCAATATTCCAGCTATATGACGGCGGTCTGTAAATAATCTGGACCAGACAATCCAGTGATTCACATCATGAGCATCGATTCTCGCAATTGGGATACGATGACATGCATCAACCAAGTCAGCGAACCTGACCACCTGATCCCGTTAGTGGCCTCTTACAAGCACAGTCGCCTGGACCTCAAGCATGTGTTGCTGAAGACCTATTCTAACCCGGATTTAAATGTTGAGTTGTATATCTAACACTAGAAGATGAGGTGAGGAGAAATGGGTAAAGAGTGGTGATTAATTTGGTATGATGCGGCTGCGCAACAACCAACGACCTTGTGCCCTGTGTGCAGACGCTCTATCCACTAGACTAAGCGGAGGTTAAAATTCTAGTAGGAACAATATGACGACAGCAGGACCCAAAAGGAAACTTGTGCTGTGAATCACAATCAACGAACGTTGGGCATCTTTACTTGGGGGAGGGGGGGTTGTAACACTGCCAGCAGGGCACCCCTATCTCGGGGAGGGGCAGTGCACATTCAACGTGGTGGAGGAGTCACACAATGCTCGCAGTTCAACTCTTCCGGGTGTGAGATAGACATGTGAAGGCGAAGGCTGAAGATCCGGGGTAGAACAAGTCTTCAGCAACCCATGCTTGTCATAAGAGGCGACTAGCAGGTTCGGATGGTCAGGCTCGCTGACTTGGTTAATGCATGTCATCGTGTCCCAATTGTGTTAATCACTGTGTTGTCTGGTCGAGAATGGATTATTTACAGAGCGCAATCATATAGGTGGAATATTGCCGATTGGGGCGTTAAACAACAAACAAACAAACAAATGCTAATACACACCTGAGCCCAATCCACAAAGCGATCGTAGTGCAATGGCTGTCGTAAGTCTGCAATAAAAGATGGGGAGTTACGTTCTCCTTAGCACTATGATCACTCTGTGGAACAGGACCCAAATGGATAAACGTACCAGTTGATCTGTCACCCTTGCCTGCAGCTAGCTTGGCTTAGGAAATTACAGTCTAAATTAAAACTCAAAGAAACATATCATATTCATATAAGTTTATTCATACAATGTACAATGCATGTGAAGACATCACGAGGAGGGGGCTTGGTCAGTTGACTGAGGGTAATACCATAGACGGAGGCTGTAGTCGATGCTGCTGCTGCTGCTGCTGGGTGCTGTCTCTGTGTCCGAGTCGTCACTGTCGCCAAGTGCGGGGTAGTGCCTCTGTCCAGAGGTGGTGCACATCAAAGGCATCGTCCGGTGAACACTGAAACACAAAACACAATGGAACACAATGGAACACAATGGTACACAATAGAACACAATGGTACAAAAGGTATAATGATTAAACAAGGTCTTACTGTACTGTAACATAATGTAACCAGGCATCACTCACTATGACTGTAACTGGGTACATTTGTCACAAGGTAACCGTGGTAACACAAGGTAACGGTAATATTGTCACAACATAACAATGGTAACAAGATACCAGGGTAATATTGTCACAAAATGTAACCATGGTAACGGTAATATTGTCACACAACATAACCATGGTAACAAGGTACCAGGGTAATATTGTCATACAACGTAACCATGGTAACACAAGGTAACAGTGTAATATTGTTAACAATAGGTAACACTGTAACACAAACTAGAACAGGTAATACTGTCATGGAACATAACACAATAACCTCAGTTACAAAAAGTAACACAAGGTAGCAAAGGTAACACAATGTAACACTGACACATGGTAACTGACAACCATAAAAATTTCCAGTCCCACCCAAATTTTGTCAATCCCAATTTTGAACAAATACATATCGTATGAAAATTACTTGGTCTTAATTCTTTCAACATCAATTTCAATGCAGTTTACTTCATGGCTGACAATCTACACATCATTCACACAAAGTTTAATCACAATTTTCTCTTTTACTCTGAATATTTCACTTTGGTTCAAGACTAAGTCACTAAAATAAAAATATTTTACCTGGAAGCAAAGTGAAAGATTATTTGATTGCACTGAAAATAGACAACAGAAAAACCCTGATGATAACAGACGAGCTGACTCCATTTGAAAGTATACTTTCTTGACTATCGACGATGTTTTGTTCAACAACAAAGCCTTACAAGATACGTCATTTGCCGGTCCACAGGGACTGGCAGTCCCAAGCATTACCGGTCCAAGCCTTATTTTACCGGTTAAAAACTGGTAACCGGTAAGCAGGAACACTGATAAAGTAACACGTTGAGTGAGTGAGGCAGTGGGTGAGTGGGTGAGTGGGTGAGTGAGTGAGTACCTGAGGCCGTTGACCACGTCGGTGTGTGCCTGGTAGTTCAGCACTGGCTTGAGGAGGGGCTCATCATCCGGCATCCCAGTCTCGGGGGGCTGTAGGGTATCCCAGATACTCACAGTGCCGTCATGGTTACCAGAAAATAGGTATCTCCCAGTGCTGAAATAGACAACGGTCTGAGTGACTTGGTTTTGATAGTCTGATGTCGTATAAATGTGAACAAACAAGTCAAGCACTTTCATCAAAATGCACATACGCTGAGCGCCAGACAAGGTAACAACAAGTACCAACTTTTAACATCTTTAGGTATGACGCGGAGGGGGATCAAATCCCTGACCTTCCGCTCTTCGGGAAGACGATCTACCACTAGACCACAGCGGCGGTCGACAAGGGGAGGGAGGCCAGGGATTTTTTCAAGGGAAAACTTAATATTTCCTCAGGTTTACAAAACAAGAATACATGTTCACTAAACATGTAGGATGTCCTGAAAAAGCGTTTTGTAAAAAACAACAATTCTTCAGCTCCCACCATTCCAAAAAATATTGCATGTCTTGGAGCAGTAACTAAAAATATGCTCTCAAAGAAAACCGAAGAATATTCCTGATTTCATCAACCCACCTGTCCAGGTCGAAGTATATTCGCTGGTTAGTCTGTACTTGTCTCATGGCAACAAACAAAATATTTCCCGGCTTTCTCAAATCCCAGCAAACAATTTCAGGATCCTGCAAAGAAAACAAAGTCACTTTTGTTGTTTGTTGTTTTACAACACAAGTATTGCTGTATGACAGCAGCTTAACAATAATTAAGTCAATTGAAACCAGTGATTGATAGCATGAGCAACGTTCAATGTCGTGGGGGTAGGCTGACCTGCAGTCAAGCAAGCCACTGATACTGACCCCCCAATCCGTCTGTGTGAGTGAGTGTTGTATAACACTGTACTCTATATTCCATCGGGGCGGTCGGGTAGCCTAGTGGTTCAAGCGTTCGCTCGTCAAGCCGAAGACCCTTGTTCGATTCCCAACATGAGAACAATGTGTGAAGCCCATTTCTGGTGTCCCCGCCGTGATATTGCTGGAGTATTGCTAAAAACGGCATAAAACGATACTCACTCATTCACTCACTCTATATTCCAGCTGTATAACCGCGGCCAAATAATAATCATGTCTGTACCGGACAATCCAGTGAATGTTGTGATCAACGACCCACGTCGTCCAGGAATGATGACATCCAAGTCCATCCTGAGAATCTGATGCAGTAAGTCTCTTACGACAATTCATCGAGAGTGAGCAAGTGAGTGTGGTTTTTATGTCACTTTTAACAATATTCCAGCAATATTAAAGCAGGGGAAACCAGAAATTGGCTTTACACATTGTACCTATGTGGGGAATCGAACCCGAGCATTCAGCGTGACGAGCAAACGCTTTAACCACTAGGCTGTGTGTGTCTGCGTCCGTGTCTGTATGTGTCTGTGCATGTGTCTTGTTTGTGTGCATGTATGTTTATCTGTGTGTGTCAGTGTGTCTATGTGTCTGTGCATGTGTCTGTGTGCCTGTTTGCAACTGTGCTCAACAACACGCCGGCCAAATGAGTAAACGATCCATGCTGTGCCACCTGATCCATTTATTTGCCATCACATTTTGTTGCAAGTGTTGCAACTCTACACAGTCAATTCCAGTACCTTCAATGACTGCGTCGAACGTGCCCCCTCATGCCTTAACAATCAAGTCCTTGAAGAAACCAATTTGTAATTTTCAATTTGTCATCACAGAAAAGGATTACAGAAATACCTTATGAAATAGATGTACAGCATCAGTATCAGTGTCTACAACCTCACTAAGCTCGGCATCAGACAGAAGTAGGACTATTTATATACACAAAACCATCAGTCACCTTTCTTCCTCCACTATACAGCTTGTTGCCATCAGGGGAAAACATGATGTGAGTTACTCCCCCTTGCTGACCTTGAAACATGCAGGCCATGTCACCTTTTGGTTCATGATACAGAGCAACTGAAAAAGATATTGTCAAACTTTAGAAAATAAATATCCCTCATCTAGATATTAAAGGTATATATCATGTTTTTTTCAAAATTCAAATTTGCCTCTATCATACCTGATATTATAGGACCGAAGAGGCAGGTAATTCTAATATTTTGCAGGTATATTTTACAAGGTTTATTCTTTTATCTTTTTCTGAAAGATATATCATACAAAAAACCCAAATTCATAATTTATATAAGAATAATAACAACAACAACAATAATAGAGATTTTGATACTTAGTTTTATTTTATTTGCATTGAATGCAATCTCAAAATATGGCATTCAAATACTTCTGAATTTAAGAAAAGAAATAACTAAAACAAAACACCTTTTTTTAACAACATGTTTTTTCTGCCAATTTGCCTGCCAGGGGTCACTTAGTTTAGAATGTTGGACAAACCCCTGCCAGATGGTTGAAGTGTGAACCGTATCTACTCACCACTTCTAGAATACGAGCTGGCAGCATACAGGCCCTGCTCTGTGGGGCTCACAGCAATACAAGAGATAATCCCGCACTGGCCTTGTTTAGCTGTGTAAGGGTAAACACATCTTTAGTTTCAACTGTCTCAACATAAGGGCAACAAATAAACATGTTTAAGATCTATATTCCAGCCAGTAACAGTCTTAACATTGATGTACACTTACCATATGTTGGTCTACTGTGGAAGTCCCGTCCCGGGCGAGCTGTGTCGAACACTCGGATCATCTTGTTGAAGCCGGTGTACAGCTTCCTGCCATCCGGACTGAAGGCCAGACTGTGAGCTGCCGTCACCTCATCCTGCAGGACATACGGGTAATATGGAGGTGAAGGTCATACATAACATACAGGTCATATGGAGGTGAAGGTCATACAGAACAAAGAGGTCATATTGGGGTCAAGGTCATACAGATTTAACAGGTCATATGAAGGTGAAGGTCATATTGGGGTAAAGGTAATACATAACATACAGGTCATATGGAGGTGAAGGTCATACAGAACATACAGGTCATATGGAGGTGAAGGTCATATGAGACATGCAGGTCATATAGGGTTTAGATCATACAGAACAAACAGGTGATATGGAGGTGAAGGTCATACAGAACAAAGAGGTCATATTGGGGTCAAGGTCATACAGATTTAACAGGTCATATGAAGGTGAAGGTCATATTGGGGTAAAGGTAATACATAACATACAGGTCATATGGAGGTGAATGTCATACCGAACATACAGGTCATATGGGGTCAAGGTCATACACAACATATAGTCATATGGGGTCAAGGTCATACAGAACAAACAGGTGATATGGAGGTGAAGTCATACAGAACAAACAGGTCATATTGGGGTCAAGGTCATACAGAACAAACAGGTGATATGGAGGTGAAGGTCATACAGAACAAACAGGTCATGTGGAGGTGAAGGTCATACGGGACATACAGGTCATATTGGGGTAAAGGTCATACAGGACATACAGGTCATATGGAGGTGAAGGTCATACAGAACATATAGGTCAAATGGGGGTCAAGGTCATACAGAACAGACAGGTCATGTAGAGGTGAAGGTCAAACAGAATGTACAGGTCATATGGAGGTGAAGGTCATACAGAACATACAGGTCATATAGGGGTGAAGGTCAAACAGAACATACAGGTCATGTGGATGTGAAGGTCATACAGAACATACAGGTATTATGGGGTAAAGGTCATACAGGTCATAAGGAGGTGAAGGTCAGACAGAACATACAAGTACTATTAGGGTGAAGGTCATACAGAACATACAGGTCATATAGGGATGAAGGTCAAACAGAACATACAGGTCATATGAGGGTAAAGGTCATACAAAACATACAGGTCATATGGAGGTGAAAGTCATACAGAACAAACAGGTCATATGGGGGTAAGGATATGGTTTAAAAAACATGAACTGTAATATTTCATGGCTCTCCTCTTATTGTTGTGATAAATTCACCCTCATCCAATCTTCGCAGTATAACTTTTTCATGACGCCCCCATTTTAATAGTGGGAACAACCTTGTGGTAACAGCATTAGACCCCTCTGGGCTTGGGGAACATAAAGGTTGGTATATCAACATCTTGAGGTGGACAACTTGGACATGGACCTCTAGGGACCAAAAGTAATGAACCTGATTCATAAAACAGACAAATAATTAAAAGATTAAAAGACATATTCCAGGTTCTCACCACTTGGTTGAATGCTCGGTATGAGCACCTGAGTTCTCCTGTGAAGGCGTCCCACATGTGTACAGGGGTCTCCCGACTCGTACTCACAAAGCTGAAAGTAATCAGGGTAAACATCATAACAAGGGTGTCAAAGAGTGAGTGAGTGTCTGTGTGAGTGAGTTTTCGGGTGGGAGAGTCTGCGTGATTGCTTAATTGCTTGATTGCTTGCTTGATTGCTTGCGTGCGTGCATGCGTGCGTGAGTGAGTGAGTGAGTGAGACAGTGAGTGAGTGAGTGAAGGGGGGAATCCATTCAAAGCCCTGGATCTGCCACTGATAGTAACCTCTCCATATTCAGCAATGTTCAGAAACACATCAAGCATCTAAAACACATTATGTTCAACGGACAAATCATTCAAATGAATTTTATCTCAATAGAAAGATTCAAAGGTCAAAATGAAGGCTATGAGTCAGTAACTGTAAGAATCAGGTCACAATATGTGAGAACGAAAATGTGTCATCCTACCGGGTACCCATTCACTGCTGGATGAACAGAAGCACATGTTGAACAAAGTCTCTTACCTAAGGAGACACACTGACAGTTACGTGGACAGACTGTATGACTTACCAGCAGGAAGTTGGGTCTGAGGAATGCATCATGGGATACCAGCAGAAGTCATAGATGAGTTCCGATTCTTTCATCTTCAGGGCTGGAACCTGGGCAGAAAGAACAACTTGTTTCAGCCATTCTTTGATTGGTTCTTTGTTGTTTAACGCCACAATCAGCAATATTCCAATTATATTAAAGAAATGGGTGTTTTAAACTTTTTTGAGTAGTATACCGTAAATCCGGACAGTTTTGTGAGCAGGAAAGTACTGTGAAAACTGCGAGTGACACACACACCCAATAGTTTCATGACACAGTTATTATTGCAGACCAACAACAAACAAGAGACATCAGGAGGCGTATTTATTGAATTCACTTCAACAAGTTGTCAAACCAGCCAGTACATGATTAAACAAATACTCCCTCACATCCTGTGTTTCCCTAATGACACGTAGCCACCTCGCGTCCAGTCTTATAGTCAAAGTTCCCTGACCTGCCACATCTCCTCAAGTTGCTGACATGACACCTACTAATCCAGACATACACCGGCCAGGCTATTCTGTTAGATAAACACGCTACTCCGACCCCAATGTCAACTACAACAACACACGCATCTATAATGCCAATCAAATATATAAGTAATGCCCATCCAATAATTGACATGCATCTATAGTTAAAAATCATTGACAGATGCTGAGTCACCATTTCATCATGCCGCTTCCTGCTAATTAAATATAACACCTGCCTTAAGTAGCTTTGATATTTGGTAGTCTTTTCCAAATTCCAAATTTCTCAAAATTAAAAAAAGCAACCCTAACCCCCCCCAGGTGGCCTCACCTTTTGGACACACCCTCCTTGGCTATCTCACTAAATGGCCAGGCGGGCCTGTGTGCGAAACATGCATAATGTCGGAAAGCGCCCATGAAACAATGTTAAATTTCCAATAGTAAGAAGTGAGGAAGTTCTAGATTTACAGCATACAGGTGACTCACCATGTCCTCGGGAATATCCTGGACATCGGTGTACACGCCCTCTGGAAGGTTGAAGAGACGGAGGATGTTGTCGTTGGAGTTGGTCAGGATGCAGGCACCATCAGGGGACCTGGGCATGTGATACACAAGCGAACGTCTCAGTTTGGACAAGATTCTTGTAATTACTAACTGTTTAACATCCAGCATGTAGACTGGAGATGTGTTTGTTTGTTGTTTAACACCACACTCAGCAATATTCCAGCTATTTGACGACAGCCTGTGAATAATCCTGTGATTCAACACAATTTGACGTTCATAGGTTTTTCACGAGACCTTGTTCTTGAAATGATGTAAACACTGACATTCCTGGGGAATCCCCTGAGAATTCCCTAGCATGAATACATACAGAAGCGTTCTTTCTGATCATTTAGACCCTTTAATCTAGCATACATTGAGGAACGTCAGAGAGTTTGACAGCATGATTATTGTCGAATGTCCTCGCTATGACCCATCCTAGTGAACAAAACGAAGAAATGCACATCCAAACTATCGTAGTATCAACTCGTTCATACAGTTTGGCCCTCACTCTATGAAGGTTCATACTCCAATGAAGTTAATTCTTAATTGCAAGTCTTTGGCGTAGAAAGAATGTAAGGCTGTTTGTAAAACTACATTGTTTATGTAGATTGCATGTCAACATGTCAGTGACGTTTCCAGGCTCATAAGCGGCGGTCGGGTAGCCTAGTGGTTAAAGCGTTCACTTGTTACCCGAAGACCCGGGTTCGAATCCCATCATGGGTACAATGTGTAAGGCCCATTTCTGGTGTCGCCCGCCGTGATATTGCTGGAATATTGCTAAAAGTGGCGTAAACCATACTCATTCACTCACTCCAGTCTCATAAGAAATATATATTTAAAGTATCAGTGTTTGATTATCTTCAATCTACCATTGTAATCCCCACAATAAGGCTTCTAAATTCGTGATAAATTCTGAGCATCAGTTAATTTTTCGGAAATCATGTGAAGCATGCCTTAAGTCATCACTACGGGACCCCCATGTACTTGCCTTGGACCCCCAAACAATACTCCTGAGAGTCCATGGAAATAGAGACACCCTGGTAAATCCCCATCTTACACATCAACCTGTGCCAATCTCGTTTCCTTCGACTTTGGTAGTGGACAAACCCCTCCACACAGACAGACAGACTGCTGCTGCCACTTCTTTAACCCATTGTGTTACCTGTTCCTAGTGTAAACCTAATTCTTTTATTTTTCATCGGCCTTGTGTGGTGATTTCCTGATTTCACAGTTTAGTTACATACAAACCAACTTCTGGGTTAACCTCTGTGTGTCCACTTGGAATTCACCTTGAAACAAGATACCAACTTACCACTTGCATCCCCGGAGGTAGTTCTCAGGCTGCTCAAACTGCCCCCAGCTTCCACACACCTGGTACGGAGTCGAGTCAAACACCAGGTCAGCTTCAGCACTGAAACACACAATCACTTAGTCGACAATCTTTACATGCTCAGGCCTAGAGCATCCACTCTCTCAGACAAGTCACCATCGCTCTATGATGTAAGATAATAAATGGATCATAGTTTGATCAGTTGTTAGCCAGAAAATCTTCATAGTAGGTGGGTAAAAAATTAAATTCTCTTGTACAAGTGCCACAACTACTGGAATAACTTGGTTTCAAAATAAGGCATGAAACTTCATGGGTCCTTGTCTTGACGGTAATGTGGAAAAAAACATAATGGGGTGCCTACATTCAAATATTAAACAGCAAACCTCAAGGTTTTCTCTTACTTTCAAACAGCAAAGAATGAGTGAGTGAGTGAGTGAGTTGGGTTTAATGCCGCTTTTAACAGTATTCCAGTTATATCACGATGTGTCAGCTAAATGCAGGAGGAAAGCCCGAAGTGATGCAGCTATCAGACTTTTACCACTTTGGTGAAACCCACAAGCACGGATATGGTGCTGACAAACCTAGAAACATAATCGGGTCGAACCGGGATTCAAACCCACAATCATAGGTTTCTGGCAGCCTGAGATGACTGGGCCATCCCTGCCCCCTAAACAGCAAGAAGAGTATTGCACTGACCATTTGTTCCAAGAACAATGTAGACAATCCAACAATCTATGCCACCTCCTTGGGAACTGGTCATATACTGAAGGGTGGGTGGGCCAGTAGAGGATTGGTTGGCCTGTTTCAACGCCAACCCTCCCAACCTCACCCTCCAGGCTCTATCCCTACGATGCCAAGCCAAAAAAGATTCATTGTGCAAAGATAAGGTATTCACTGCATTTGGTGGCCTCAAAAGTGGCTTAAACTGTTCCAATAAACTTATCTTCACTAGTAACCCTCTATGACTCTACCTTTCACTCGGGATGCTTGTAGCTTCCTTCTCAGCACAATCAAGGGGGATAACTCTGACATCCTCAGGTTTATCGTCTTGCCCATCAGGTTCCTCAGACTGCAGCTTTGCCCTCTTTGCTGATGGCACATCCTCGTGATCCACAGAATCTGACTTTTCTGGAATGTCTTCACTGACTGGCTTTCCAATCTGTTTAGAAGCTTCATGCTCGGATTGTTTTGTATTTCTCATAACTCTCGGCAAAAACATACTGGATGCAAAGCCTTGAGATGAAGGAATAACACTTGGAGAATCTGATTTATCCAATGAGCTGTGTTCTGATGGAGCCTCCTGGTCCATAGCTGAAGGAGGCTCTTGTTCTATGATGGATGGAGTCTCCTGTGAATGTTCTACGCCAAAAGGCTGGGTTCCTTGTGGGACAGAGAAGGTCTCGACCTCTTTGGATGGATACGAACCTCCGATTCCAAGCAAATCTTCTTCAGATGTATTGACTAACTTGGAAGGGTCCACTTTACCAGACAGGGTTATGTTGGATGATGTCTGGGATTCACATTTGGAAGAGTCTTGTGAGGGTAAGGCAGACAGTTCGTCCATCTTGTCTTGTTTGCTGACCACGTCATGTTCCTCAGGTTGACCTACAACTTCCTCACTCCCTAGAACAAACATAAAAAAGTCCATTCTCCTTGGGCATTGATAAGCAGGCAACTCTTTAGGATTAGCACTACATTGTTCGAGATTCTTCGTCAACTGTTGCTGGAACATATTCAGTTACAGTTTTTCCACCAATTCTACTTATTTAGACTGTTTATAATACACCAGAGTCCACTCACTAAGTGAATACTCATGGCGCTACATTATTATTAGACCCATGAAGATCCGAGTAAAATAGGTCTTCAGCAACCCATGCTTGCTGTAAAAGGTGACTATGCTTGTCGTAAGAGGCGACTAACGGGATCAGGTGATCAGGCTCGCTCGGTTGATGCATGTCATCATATCCCAATTGCGTGGATCGATGATCATGATGTCAATCACCGGATTGTCTGGTCCAGGTTTGATTATTTAGAGACCGCCGTCATATAGCTGGAATATTGCGAGTCCGGCGTTAAACAACAAACAAACAAACATTACTATTAATCAAGTCTTTGGATCAGTGTGCATTTCAATTTTATTCTTAGCTTCCTAGGGGTATACAAACCAATTGAAGCTGCCTACAAGGTGCAAGAAGGTCACAGTCACATTACTAATCATCCTACTGGGTACCCATTCACTGCTGGGTGAACATAGACATTATTTTGAACAAAGTCACTTGCCTAAGGAGACACCTCATGGAAAATGCACACATTAGTTTTTTGCATTGGTTTGGTTAATGTAGGACCCACCTTTTGGGGTGTGTTGTACATCTGGGGACTTCATCTCGACAGCATCCCCAGGTGTGGACCTGTTGTTGCCCTCTGACAGGGCTTGGTCAATGCCCTCCATCAGTTGCTGGGAGTTGAGTTCTGGTTGGGACTGACCTGTACTTGATTTCACTATGTCGTCTATGTCACATATCAGGGCTTGTGTGCTGGGCTGACTACTTTCCTCAGACATGACACTGGGTCTCAATGCTGTCTTCAGGCATTACAAACGGATCCTGTGGGTGTCTTCTTGTGGTTAAATTCCTGAAAACAAAGTGAATAAGTTTCAGCATGTCCTGTTAGTGAGTGAATGTTCTCAGTGTCTTAGACTGCAATATTCAAGCAGTGGACATATATCAGTATATGGTCTCTGATTCAAGGAATATTATCACGGCCTGTAAAATTGTCAAGTCTGGTAAAAACAAACTAGTGATTGACAGCATGAGGTACGACCCATGCACATTTCCAGTGTGAAAAGTAGACCAAGTTTAACATAGACCTTTGATTAAGATCGACTGAGCTGTAGGCTATGTGACACACACAGTTTTACGTAGCCGAGAGACGCAATGGGGTCCTACAGTCAAGACATGACCCTGTCTTTAACTGTAGGACCCCATCGCGGCTCTCGCCTAAGTTGTACCTATAATGACACCTAGGTAATTCTCACAATGGGCCACAATCAGCAATATCCCAGCAACATCACCGTGGTCCGTAAATAACCGACTTTGGGCCACGCTAACCAGTGGTTGACAGCATGAGGAACGATCAATCAATGATATTTAGAGAATGATAGCTGACCACTTCACAAATTGTTAACACCTGGCAGCTTTGTAGTCACTCACAATCTTCTATTTGTAATGCATTTATCGGTAAACTATTTCAAAACATGTTGACAGCACAATCTTTGTAGATTACATCCAATTTCCGCCGATAACGTTTTTCCTAAATTGTTTCAAGTATGCCTCCGCGCAAAAGGCACGTTGTTTACAATTTTCACAGAGTTACGTCCCTTACCACATTTTAACCAATCAACGTACAGTATGTCCTGCTCATGCTGAACTGTTATCATGGCGGATTACAGGGACAACGTGGTTTCTGGAATCCTAACATTTACTAAAGAAGATGGAAATTCTTCATTGGATTCGCATAACATGTTGACAGTAATAGACCATCACCAACTGTTTGGAATTCAGGTAGTGGAAATGTAATTTCCATCTGTGTTTACATTGAATTACCAATGTCTGCACTTTCTGCTTATATCAGTATATCTTGTCATTACTGATGAGTGATGACAGTTGTAATTACGTTTTTAAGATCTTTCTAGTTTTTGTCGTACGTTGTCATTGTTGTTCATCATGCTTATACGCTGAATTACACGTACCCAAATCCACGATCAGATATGACTGACACTTTGTTGGCTGGCTGAACTGTTGTGGCGTCGCACCCTAGAGCCGGCAGAGGATAGCCTCGTCTATGATTTTTTTTGCGTCATTTTTTATTTTTATTGTTATAATTAGTTACATGGTCCTGTGCTGAGAGCCGCGATGGGGTCCTACAGACACATGACCCTACATTTGCCACTGAAAAGTTGATATCGGTGTACTCTCAGATAATTTCCTTATCTGACTCTGTACACATACTTGTCATAATTTAATTACCACAACTTGGGGTAATGACCAGTAACCTGTTCACTTCATGTTTCAACAATAGTGAGCTAACATGTTGACATGGTGTATGCATTCACTAGATTTCTAAAGTCTGGTTCTGCATGGGTTTTCTACAAGCTGCAATGTGCATGTAATTTACTAGTCTCTGTTAGCGGAAAACATGTTGTTTAGTGCGCAGTGAAACTTTAGGCCAAATTAGGGCTCCCCTTACTGATTTCATCATATATCAAGAACAAAAATAAATTTGGGCTTGTGGTTATAAGTTTGCGCACATGAAACATTCTTGAGTACTTACGGCCTGTGAAGATGGTAATGTAAATGTTTGGGATTTCTTAAAGGTGATGAGATATGTATGAGTTTCTTTCGTTGTTTCAGAAAGCGTCCTACCTGCAGGACACTATTGGCCACATACACAGCTGTTTAAACACAGCAGCCAGCAGGTGAGGTTTACTCGGAGAAAGGCTGCCTCCATGGTCTTGGACATCTTACTATGTCTACTTTTCTGAGGTGTAATAATCATAATAATAATAATAAAAACCCTGGCATTTGTCCAGACTGGTACAAGGAGACATGCACACATGCATGCACATCACTATACAAGTGCAATAATTTTGAACATGATGTTAACCCCATTTCACCTTACCTTGCATGGAGCATTGTTAATCAAACTAAGTTGTCCTGAAATATATGTTTCCATTTGACTTTGATCCAAATTTGTGTCTGAATCACAAAATAGGTTCTTGTGTAACATATTACATGGGCATTTGTGTGATCTAAGGCACCACAACTCACTGCAGAGTTGTCTCCCTTAATCATACCAGCATCTGCTGAATCCCAGGTGCATCCTGTTGTGATTCTTGGTTGTTCAGCTTCATATCCATGTTCAGGGGCTAACAAGAATGGTAAACGTCTGCTCGATTATTTACAGACCGCCGTCATGTATCTTGAATATTGCTGTGTGTTCACTACAAAATGTCAAGCAACAAGCACAAACACCCATGATATGTTGAAATGTCAACTCTGTCAATGTTTTTATTTATGATGGATGACACACTGAACAGAAAAGTTAGGGATCATGAATATTTTTGGGATATTTTTTATGAAATTGTGTGCTCAGTCTTCTCTACAAAATCATATCCCCAAAATGTTTCATGATCCCTAACTTGTTTTGCTCAGTATGTATAATTATTTGTGACAGTCCTTGATGAGAGGTTGCTGTGACATGTAAGGTCTGCTTTGTTATCAGTCACATTGCCATGATCTGGCAAGTCAGTGAGGAGGAAAACTTATGATGCTCTGTGGGAGTTTGTGAGTTGAAATATAACTCTGACCTTCCTGGCCCTATGGGTAATTAAGGCATGTTTAATATGGACTGAATACATGTGGTAATTTTGGCACCAGACATGACGGCCTGGTGCTACTGGAGAGAATGGTCGCACAGTGTTCTACAGAAGTATTTACTGCAAACGTCAACACCTGGTTCAAGCTTCTGTTGCAAGTTTTACAGGTAATGAACACTTTGGCTCATTTCTGGTCAAATATATCAGTAATATTTATGTTACATGGAAATGTTATAAGTCCATTATAATGTGCCAAATTCCATTCAACGAGTGAATTGCTCAATGCTATTATTATCACCATGGGCATGGATGAGCGTGATCAGCGTGCACTTGATTTTCATTCTCAACTCCCTGGGGAGTATACAATCCAAGCTGCCTTTGAGGCATTAGAAGGCTAACAGTCACATTACTGCATCATCCTGGATCAATGCTCGTGATGTCAATCACTGGATTGTCTGGTCCAGACTCGATTATTTACAGACCGCTGTCATATTGCTGGAATATTGCTGAGTGCAGCATTAAACAACAAACAAACAAACTACTGTATCATCCTACCGGGTACCCATTTACTGCTGGTTGAACAGAGGCATATTTTGAGTAAGATCGTTTGCCAAAGGAGACACCACATGTGCTTCAGTGTGGGATAACACCAAAATTCTCTTGTGATCCAACTACGCTCTACGTCCAGCGTTGCCTAACCTCACCTGATCTGTGACCTGTGTGTCATGAGAAGGGGGCGAGTAACGGGTTCGGGTGGTCAGGCTCACTGATTTGGTTGATGCATGTCATTGTATCCAAATGGCGTTGATCGATGCTCATGACTCCATCATTTGCAGACCGCTATCATATTGCTGGAAAATTGCTGAATGCGGCTTTAAACAAAAATCAAACAAACCCGTCTGTTGAAGCAGTGTCTGAAATATCTGCCTGCCTGTCCTTTCTGGAAACCTTTCTGTCGGGCTGCATGAAATTTTCCTCCACCTGTCTGACTGTCTGGGAGATAATTTTACGACTACTTCAGTGCTAGAAATTGGCACTAGTCCTATAGTCCTTGCCAAACTGCCCAATAGTTAAGGTATCACAAGGACTAGTAGAAATGTGTCATCATTATAAGGACTAGTGGACTAAAACTGTTAGTTTCTACTGCTGTACTTTCCATGTGTACATATTGAGTTTCATTATAACTTTTTGTAGATTCTCAAATGAATGTTTGCATCATTAAAACTGAATCAAGACGTAATTGGTCTTTGATATTTTGCGATTTTTCAATATTTATAATGCCTGAATGCGGGCAGGTAACTTGAAGATGTATATATTATATTGATATATTGGTATCGTGATGTACGATGGCTTATCTATCCGTTACAATCCTTTAATCACCTTCAGTCCCACGGTGATGTGACAGAGAAGCAGCAATCTTGTCAGATCATGGCGGAAATGATCGCCACATCAAGCAGCTTCCCCGAGATAACCCGTGAGATATCGGCATCCATCATCCCCAAACTGCTGCCTCCACTCCTGGCAGCAACATCTGCTGTAAGTTTTTGTCTAGCAAGATGTAACCATGGTAACTGCTACATAAAATATCACTGTATGATTATATTATATGCAGGGTTGAGAATCTTCCGCGAATTTTAGTGATCACAAACTTAGTAAAATCTGAAAAGGAAAATATCCATTCTCATCCCTCTATATGTGTTTTTCATAATTGTTAATAATTAATAATTTAATAATTTGTAAAATGTATATGGACTGGTAACACAAAGATCATGGGTTGGAATCTGGTTTGCCCTAATTATGTTTCTAGGTTTTTTTAGCACCATACCTGTGGTCGTGGGTTTCACCAAAGTGATAGATATATAAGACATGCACCACTTCAGGCTTTCCTCGCACATCAAGCTGACATGATATTGGTGTTAAACCATCTCACTACCTCCTCTTGTTCCAGTGGCTGGAGGCGGCAACTCGGTGCATCGCTTCGTGTGTCTCCTACTTCCCCGGACCCTGCAGGGTGTTCAGAGTAAGCTGCATCCAAGTCTGTGAGAACTTGACTTACGTATACAGCGAACAGGCTGATGGAGTTAGACCCTTCAATCACAGGGAGTGTTTGTTATTACAATGATAATGATAATAATATACATGTGTGCATAATACACACATACAATGAGCTTCGATTTTATTTCACTACGCGAAAATGTTATCGTGAGCACGTAATGCCGGAAGTAGCATGTCAACAAATCTCTACTGAAGTATGCAAGTTTGTCCTGTTATTACACTACCTGGTGATGAAAGTGTTCAGTGTGTATCTGGACTTATGCTTGTTATCCATTATATTACAAGGTTCTTTCGTCCAAGATTTCATCCAAGTTTGTTTACATTAATTTCATTGAAATCATGAACTGATTGGCAAATCACATCAACTCACCATGAGTGAGCATAACTTGAAAACCGTGAAAAACTTTTCATCCAAACCTGGTACATGTATTCCACAAGGGCTGAAGTGGTTGGTGTCTTTTGCTATTTTGGAATTTTCAAAATTTGTTTTTCCCTGTTTCCATGGAAACAAGTTAGACTTAGTTAAAACAGAGGTAGGTGTTGTATTCCGGGGCAGAACTAAAAACATTATTCAATATTTTTCATCCAAATTTGGTTCATGTATTAATCAGGGGTTGTGCTGGTGCCTTTGCAACTTAGGGATTTTTTTTAATGTTTAAATTTTATTTCCATGGCAATAAGTTTGAATTTTGACTCATTTCTTAGTAGTGTGTACCTGACATAGAAATTCAGAGTTCCGAATCCCTATTCTATGGTATTTTTTTTGATAGCACAATAATTACTCTTGTATAAGGACAGACAGATTAGATTGAAATTCATTCATCAGGTTGGATTTAAAGTACCAGACAGATGATTTGTTCTTTTTCGTATTTGTGAGGGCATCTTCTGATGAATGTTTTGTTTAAAATGGAAATAAAAACAAAACTTGCTGCAGACTTTATGATGATGCGGTGGTGCCTGAGAACCAAGACAATTTTCCTTTTTTAGCCTTATATTTATATCTGTTATTTAATCAATATCAGGGTCCAAAAGTAATGTAAGTCCACTAGTCCGAGCCAAGTAAAACTCAGAAAGTCACAGTTACTTGTCGACTACCACATAGGTAGATGGTAACATTGAACAATTCTTTAGCTGTTAATAATAAACAAGTAACTTTTGAATGCATCATGCATTCATGACTAACAATTTCTTCAGGAAGCATGTTGTTTGTTCCTCTAGTTGAAGATAGAGTCCATGTTGCTGCGTCAGCTAGATCGGCCGAGTCCCAGCAATGCTGGCGTCCGGTGTCTGGCTCTCCTGGCTCGACTAGGACCCAGTCAGGGGGCCAGACAGATTGATGGATGGACGGAGATGTGTCAACGCCTCCTGTCTTCTCTCAATCACTGCCTGTCCTGTCTCTATCAGGGCCTGGAAACAGGTACAGTTTGACTTCACACACTCTTCTTGTCATTTATTACATGACGGATCCCACCGACTCTTCATCTTCTATTTGCTTATTTGAACATATTTCCGTTTGTTTGTTGTTTTAACGCCACATTCACCAATATTCCAGCTATATAATGTCAGTCTGTAAATAGTCGAATCTGGACCTACAATCCAGTGATTGACATCATGAGCATCGATCCACACAATTGGGATACAATGACATGCATCGACCAAGTCAGCGAGCCTGACCAACTGATCCCGTTAGTCGCCTCTTACGACAAGCATTGTCCCCTTATGGGTTGCTGAAGACCTATTTTACCCCGGATCTTCACGGGTCGAACATATCCCCATAACGAACCGGGTTAGAATTGCTTGTGTTAATTGTTAAATGTGTATTGGATAGTTAAGGTTTGCTCCTTGTTAACCTGATGCTGTGAAGATTCGGAGTAAAATTGGTCTTCAGCAACTCATGCTTGTAAGAGGCGACTAACAGGATCGGGTGGTCAGTCTCGTTAACTTGTTGATGTATGTCATCGTATCCTAAATGCGTTGATCCATTCTCATGATGTCAGTGTTGTCACACAACAATAAAATAGATAGTAGCCCTTTGATAAGGAAATTAGGGTTGCTGTCACGTAACAGGTTTCTGATAATATGCGGGCATTAAATAATATTTCTGTCTATTCAGCTGTAAGCTCTTATCATTGATGTTCATATTATGATTGAGAGGCTAGTGATGAGGAAATATGGGTCAGTGGGTCAGGTTTGTTGTGAGAATTGCCTTGGTGAGAGGGTTTCTGGGGACAGACTCGGAGACCTGACGGATGACTCATCGGTGTTACTGGGCAGTGGGGTAGCCTTGTGGTTAAAGCGTTCGCTCGTCATGCCGAAGACAGGGGTTGGATTCCACACATGTTTACTATGTGTGAAGCCCATTTCTGGTGTCCTGCTCTTATATTGCTAGAATGCTGCTAAAAGCTGCGTAAAACCATTTTCACTCACTCACTCACTCACTCACTCACTCAACCCACTCACTCAACCCACTCACTCACTCGTCAGTGTTACTGGGTGGACCAGTTTGTACATGAAGAGATTGGATTTGGACCTCTAAAATTCCTGTTCAACCTGTTTACAGATGAAGCACAGACGTCCGAGGACAGCATCTTCTCCTCTGCCCCCGACACAGAGCCGGGTAGAAGTAGTGTCCTGACTGCCCAGTTCAAGACACTCGGAGTGTGTCTGCAGACACTGCTTGGGTATGTACAGAATAATGTGTTTATACATGTCTATGTTGTGTGCTACACAATTATTACCCCGGTCCGTGGATCAGTGTGCTACACAATTATTACCCAGGTCAGTGGATCAGTGTGCTACACAATTATTACCCCGGTCCGTGGATCAGTGTGCTACACAATTATTACCCAGGTCAGTGGATCAGTGTGCTACACAATTATTACCCCGGTCCGTGGATCAGTGTGCTACACAATTATTACCCAGGTCAGTGGATCAGTGTGCTACACAATTATTACCCCGGTCCGTGGATCAGTGTGCTACACAATTATTACCCAGGTCAGTGGATCAGTGTGCTACACAATTATTACCCAGGTCAGTGGATCAGTGTGCTACACAATTATTACCCCGGTCAGTGTATCAGTGTACTACACAATTATTACCCCGGTCCGTGGATCAGTGTGCTACACAATTATTACCCCGGTCCGTGGATCAGTGTGCATCAAAGCACATTCTCAGCTCCCTGAGGAGTGTATCATGTTCTTCCTACTGGTACAAGATTCTGACACTGCTAGGGTATGTATGTGATAAGTGAATAATAGGTGCATGTTAATGTTGGGATGTATGTATCTATCTGTGTGTATAGATTTATGCCCTTAACCAAACTCTTTACACGGTAGGGATGTTGAGGTAGTCTGGTTGTCACTGGTGATGCCAAAGGCCTGTGTACAATGTGTGAAAGCCCATTTCATCACCATGATATTGCTGGAATATTGCTGAGAGTGGCGTAAGGCAATGGTCTAGCATCGATGTCATCCTCCCCAGGCAAGGGAGTTAACTGACTGTAAAAGTCCAGTTTCCACCCTTGCCAAACTTGGCAGGAATTTCTGGGCTCGATCGTAGCGCCACCAGTGGCTATTACGAGTTATGTCCCCTCTATGTCCCTCCTATTGACCAATCAGATTCCACCTCTCATATCACTTGAATTTGGTTCCAACAAAATGGTGGTGCCCAGTGAAGACGATCTGATCGATAATTAAATCACGTGGGCAACTCAATTAAACACATGAAAAGATTTGGAAAATATCTGTTGATGGCGAATTGGCGGTACACATGCTTTGCAAATCCTGAAATCGACCGAAATCTGCACAGCAGTTTATGAACCAGATATCAAGTTTGATTGGACTATGCATAGACTCATTAGTCCAGCCAAAATATAACTCCATAATTCCAGCCTAGTTCAGCAAGGGTGGAAACTGGACTATTATAGTCAGTTAACCAACCTCCTTGCCTCAGGAAGATGGATGGATCGATGTGCACTCACATCACATTCTCAGGTCCCTGGGGCACAAGACACACACTGCATGATATGAGGTATCCCTGGGATATATAACCTGTCCAATATCTCATGCAGGTAGAGGAGGGAAATGAATCACTTTGTTTGTTCTTTAGAATTGATGGGTTGATTATTCTATGCCATTGAAAGCCCCATCAATGAAATGTTTCTCAAAGACAGACATTTTGTATCTGTTACCATGCGATGTGAAGTATGGAATATGTCTTGCAGTGAGAAGCACACGTCTTCCGTGAAGATACCGGCCCAGGACATACTTGGGGTTGTGTGCCGATGTCTCGCAGTCAACTATAGAATGCTGGTATTTGTATATTGCTGGAATAATGCTAAAAGCAGTGTTAAACTCAACCACTCAACCACTAAACCACCCATTCAAGAGCCAATTCATGACTTGATTATTTACACGCCACTTTGCTGACCTCTCTCATCTAACAGATAAAGGCCCCGTTCGTAAAAGCAATCTTCGCTCTATGACTGCCATAAGTTTAGATTAAAGTATGGGAGTATGATCGTCTTTGTGCTAAGATCGCTTGTGGCAAGCGGCCATAATCAAAAACATTAAGTTATTTTTTAAATAAAAATAAACCAGTTAAATTTCATGATCTAAAATATAATAAAGTGTACTTTAGTTTAATATGAACAATTCGTACCTATTTTCTACTGCAGTTGGCACGCCCCACAACAGACAGAATCCGACTGTTCTCACATCTGCCCGAGCTGCATAAGTCCAGTCTCAATGTTCTCACTGCTCTGATTATGAGGTACGTCACTGCCAAGTTTGGTCATCAGTTTGTATAGCTGGGGACATTAGTGTCCCAATGACCCGTGAAGATCCGAGGTAGAATAGGTCTTCAGCAACCAATGCTTGCCATAACAGGCGACTATGCTTGTCATAAGAGGCGACTAACGGGATCAGGTGGTCAGGCTTGCTGATTTCGTGAATGCATGTCATCCATCACAATTGCGTAGATCGATGCTCATGATGTAAATCACTGGATTGTCTGGTCCAGACTCGATTATTTACAGACCGCTGTCATATAGCTGGAATATTGCTGAGAGCGGCATTAAACAACAAACAACAACATAGTGTCCCAATCACCTGATACACCACAATTCCCTGTGCAGAGTTGCATTCTTTGGGCACACCAGAAATCTATGATCGTGTGTTTGAATCCTGGTTTGTCCAGATTATGTTTCTAGCTTTGTCTACCATACTTGTGCTCAGAGTAGTTAATGCCGAGACCTGCATGGCTCTGGGCTTAACTCCCACATCAAGTTAACATGCCATGATATAAGTGGAATACATTTCAAAGCTTTGTTTATCTCATAACATACTTCACATTGTTGTTTGGTTTGACAAAAAGATGATTTGAAAAGATTTTGGAATATATGTAATTGAGACAGTTGGAATACAGTGAAATAGCCAATTTCAGATTTTAAAAAATAATTGACAGTTTGGTCCGTAGATTCCACCAGGAATCAACAGTGTAGAAAATCTTCAACAGATGCTAGCTTAGACTGCATGTATGTCCTGAGTCCTGCTTTAGTCCTGGCTGTTTTCAGTGTAATTGTCATTGATAAGTCATTTCTAATCTCTAGAGAGTACATACTCTGATGTTCTTCTGCACAGCTGCCGGATGCAGTTACTTCCCTTGAGTGACCTCATCAACAAGCTGTTCCTACAGAGTCTAGCCTTTACCCACCTGGATCGGGTGTACGCCCTGGACCAGCCGCTCAGGTGAGGGAGGGGGACACTATGACACTATGGGGGAACACAGCTAGGGAAGGGGGACACAGCTAGGAAGGGGGGGACACAGCCAGGGAGGGGGGGACACAGCCAGGAAGGGGGGAACACAGCTAGGGAGGGGGGACACAACAGAGAGTGGATCCGGTGTACGCCCAGGACTGACTGCTGAGTGGAGCGGAGGGACACAGTTGGGGGGGGGGGGGGGGGGCTGTTGCCCTTTACTGCTCACAGAGTCCCTTTGTCATACAACAGTAAGGGCAGTAGGGTAGCCAAGTGGTTAGAGTGTTTGCTTATCACACCAGAATTCTTGGTTTTAGTCTCAACATGATTACAATATGTGAAGCCCATTTGTGTTGTCCCTGAAGTTTTGCTGAAATATTCTTAAAAGCAGCATAAAACCCAACTCACTCACACAAAATTGTTCTTCAGCAACCCATGCTTGACGTAACGGGTTCGGGTGGTCAGGCTCGCTGTCTTGGTTTATGCATGTCATTGTATCCCTTTTGTATAGATTGATGCACATGATGTTAATCACTGGATTGTCTATCTAGATGTGATTATGTCAGACAGCTATCACATAGCTGGAATATTGCTGAGTGCAGCGTTCAACAACTAGCACTCTATAAGTTGTAGCAGGATCACTCGGGGTACTTGGGGTTCTATGGGTACCGTGATAGGACGTGGAGGCATGTGGTATAAAACCTACGAGGGACGCATAAAACCCCATGTACCCCGAGTGATCCTGCTGCAACAAATTTATCTTACCGACATGTTTTAATATGAAATTGTAAAAGAATTAAGACAAATTCAAAATTGATAGTCAACAGCTGTTTCATTGGGTGGAGGTTAGCTTGTGCTATGTCACGTGACTTTCATTGCTTGGATGCAGGTATAAGGGATTTATTCTGCCTCTCAGAAATGCCCATGCAGCTCGTGGCGGGGAATAAGGGATTTATTTCCCCCAAGGCAGGATACCTAGTATTTATCAAGATCACGTGGACCAATCAGATCTTATCATTCTTTCATACATTTGTTGACAATCTGTTTGTGTTACGTGTTTTGTTTTATGTTAAATGAATCTGAAAATACAGATATGCTTATGTGTCTTTTTTAAGTTTTTGTAAACGTCCTAGATTAGTTGAATTATATGTTTCATCTTTGTCAGTGCCCTGTAAGATCACCATCATGATTACAGCATCCCGAGGGAGGCGACGTACAGCAGCATGACCCAGTGGCTGAAGGTCGTCGGGGGGTCGTGTCACCTGGTGACGGAGGAGAAGGACCTCGTCAAGGAGATCCTGCATGACGTCACACCTGTCCCAGACACACTCAAGGTTGCTACCACTGTTTGTTTTGTGTGAACAGGTTAATAACTTTTGGAGAATAAAAATGTTATATCAGTCGTGGTTCCACGTTGACATGTTGCATGGATCCAGCATCTGCTGCACTGTGGTAGTTTGAAGATGTTGAATATTTTGCTCTGGGACTGGTCATTTATTATATCATTGGGGACATGAAAAATGTCACATGTATATTGGGGTGGGGGGGTCAAGAATTGTTTTTGCAGAATATAGGATGGCGGTGGTCACAAAAAGCTGTTTCTGCAAATTTGTAACTTCTTACATCAATATGCTTATTCTGGCTCTCAAGTACTGTACCTTTGGCTGGGATTTATATAGGATTTAAACTTTGAAAATTGTTAAACAAACGCTTTTAGGGTTCAAATTTAGGAATTATTAATTATTATTATTTTTATAATTCCGAGGTATATGAACATTGTATTTTAACATTACATTCTAGTACAAAAGAATTTAAGCCTCCTTATGGATGAAGTACAAGTCACATCGACAAAATTGGATGTTTATTGTCAATCTACATCTATGGGGAACATCTCACTCGAAGGCTCTTCCCTCTCAAAAATAACATCGTCCAATAAACGACATCAAGTTGCAAGCACATGTTCGAATCTCCAGAAATGACGTCATGATAGAACAATGTTTTATTGTGAATTAACCACTCTTCGTTCTCCTGTGTTATATATCCCAATAAAGTCATTCCTGTTCTATATGTTCTTCTCAGCATTATTCATTTTCTGTTTGCAATGTTTGCATTGTCCATGGTATGCTGGCATTGTTCAGTTGTATGTTTGCATTGTGTGACAGCTGAAAGGCAGCCAGAAGTGCAACATGGACCCACCTCCGACCAAGAAGAAGAAGCGCACTGGCTACCAAGAGTTGAGTGAAGGCATCAGCTCATACAAGAAGATCTCCCCCACCGCCAACAGCGACGTCACCAACAGCGCCTTGCAAGGTACATTTCCCTGTGGGCATTCTGGGTTTGAATAAGTACCCAGCAACCCCTGCTGGTCGTTAGAGGCGGCTAAATGGATCAGGTGGTCAGACTTGGCAGATCAGCAGATCCTTGTGGGCTAAGGGCCACAACCCATCTGAGACTCCTCGGCCGCTCATGCTAATGTCTGGAGAGTCATTAAAGCGTTGTAAGCAATTAACGGGTCTTGGGGTCCTAGAGGTTTGGCTGCCATAGTATTTGAATCGAGGGACTTGTTTTATTTTGAATATTCACATTATGAGAAGGACCCTGTGACCTTAGTCCATAATTTTGAACAGGAATCTTCCACTTTGTTTAAGTCAGCTCTTTTTCCAGCATTGTTGACAGGATGTGCATGACTCTGTTTCAGTGCTTCATCTGTTTGTATCCAGGTTTGGAGATGTTTTGAAGGACAAGAATTATCAGGTAGAAAATGTTACACAGTTATTTTTTAGTACTACAGAGTCACTATATAAGTGCAATAATCTTGAATGCGACACAATGGTTTCACTGGCACAGATCTTATTGAGTACAAGTCCCAGCTGAAACCGACATTTTTCAAGTCCAGACAAAGTTTGATGTTTGTGAATTGTTCCTGCTCAGATGCGGATATTTTCCCCCAAATATCGGCACCAAATGTCAGTAAAAATTCCCTTATTGGAAATAAGAATGAAAAAATATGGATTTGTTTCTAAATTCGCCTGCCATGGAAAATTAATTTGGAATTCTAGATCATTCCCTCTGGCTCGATTATGGTATAAGGGCACAATCACCTGACAGCTTAGTGAGTTATCTCCCTTGGATCTACAGCCTCGAGTTATCTCCCTTGGATCTTCAGCCTCGAGTTATCTCCCTTGGATCTACAGCCTCGAGTTATCTCCCTTGGATCTACAGCCTCGAGTTATCTCCCTTGGATCTACAGCCTTGAGTGGCAATCAGTCCAAAGTTGCATTTGAAAGTAAAAACTTAAAACGAAGACAATATTGAAAATAGCTACTATATGATACAGGATACACAGAGTATATTGTGATACAATCACTCTCAATTGCCTTTGCAGGATATCATAGACAGTGTGGTGAGCACTGTCCTAGTCATCCAACAGAACGTCTTGGACGCGCCAGTTCCGTACGGCAGTGCCGAGTGTCGTAGGGGTCTGTACAGAACGTTGCTGGCGTGTAGCCTGCAGACTCATCCCAAGGTTGCATCCCCGTTACAAGTTAGTTTGATGCTGTTTCGGACGGGGCTCCAGGATCCCAGTATAGAGGTATGTGGCAGTGTCAGCTTGTGCACGTACTGTCTTCACTGGAAGCGTGAAGTAGGCATGAGTAAGTGTGAAGTAGACATCCAGTTCCAATAAGGTCACGGTGTCAGCTTGTGCAAATGCTGTCTTCACTGGGAACGTGAAGTACGCGTGAAGTAAGCATGTGTAAATGTAAGTAAGTGTGAAGTAAGCGTGAAGTAAGTGTGAAGTAAGTGTGAAGTAAGCGTGAAGTAAGTGTGAGTAAGCGTGAAGTAAGCGTGAAGTAAGTGTGAAGTAAGCGTGAAGTAAGCGTAAGTGTGAAGTAAGTGTGAGTAAGTGTGAAGTAAGTGTGAAGTAAGCGTGAAGTAAGTGTGAAGTAAGCGTGAAGTAAGTGTGAGTAAGCGTGAAGTAAGCGTGAGTGTGAAGTAAGTGTGAGTAAGTGTGAAGTAAGCGTGAAGTAAGCGTGAAGTAAGTGTGAGTAAGTGTGAAGTAAGTGTGAGTTAGCGTGAAGTAAGTGTGAGTAAGCGTGAAGTAAGAGTGAAGTAAGAAGTGTGAGTAAGCGTGAAGTAAGTGTGTGTAAGCGTGAAGTAAGCGTGAAGTAAGTGTGAAGTAAGCGTGAAGTAAGTGTGAAGTAAGCGTGAAGTAAGTGTGAGTAAGCGTGAAGTAAGCGTGAAGTAAGTGTGAGTAAGCGTGAAGTAAGTGTGAGTAAGCGTGAAGTAAGCGTGAAGTAAGTGTGAGTAAGCGTGAAGTAAGTGTGAGTAAGCGTGAAGTAAGCATGAAGTAAGCGTGAACTAAGCGTGAAGTAAGCGTGAACTAAGCGTGAAGTAAGCGTGAACTAAGCGTGAACTAAGCGTGAAGTAAGCGTGAACTAAGCGTGAACTAAGCGTGTGTAAGTGCCCAGTTCCAGGATGTGGTGGATAGAGCACCTGCTGGGAGAGCAGAAGGCAGCAGCATTCCAAATCCCTACTCTACCTAAAGATGTTAGACATGGTTAATAATGGTACTTGTCCTTTCCCTGCCTGGCTCTCAGAATTAAAGGGATAAAACAAGGACTGGTGGGTTTGGAGTCAGTATATTGTAAAATTGCATCATGGTATCTTGCTGGTTTATCGCCATTGAACCGGCATTGATGCAGACTGGGACAAGCAGCCCGACACACACACGCAAGTCTTTGTATAAGTGCAATAAGGACCGCGACATTCCACCCTGTTTCACCTTAAACATTTACATGATAGTCCCTGTTTTCTTGTGTATATTACAGATGTTTTACAGAAAACACAGTAGTGTAGAAGGGTTCAATCATTTTTAGCATCTATCATCAAATGCGTTGATAATCGTTTATGACCCAGGGTAGAATTGGTCTTCAACAACCCATGCTTGCCGTAAAAGGCAACTAACGGGATTGGGTGGAAAGGCTCGCTGACTTGGTTGATGCCTGTCATCGTATCCCAATTGTGTGGATCGATGCTCATGATGTCAATCACTGGTTTGTCTAGTCCAGATTTGATTATAGCTGGAATATTGCTGAGTGCAGCGTTAAAGAACGAACAAACAAAGATAATCGATGATAATTGTTCTGTCCTGTCGTAGTATTAAAAGCAGTTTTATTTTCTGTGCTTTCCCTTGACTGCCAGAAAAAGGCTCATGATTTTGCACAGAAGGTCGTTGTATCTGTATAATTTAAGCAAAACAACATGGTGTTGTTAATAAGGTATTCATGTAGCTTGAGCATCAGTCACATAACAGGATGTGATGTTAGCCACTATTGTGAAGCCCAAGTCAAGTAAAAGTCTGTTCAGTCCAGTAAGGTCAGCCGTATTATCACACTATGATGTACTCAAAATGATGCTAAGGGTCAGGTTCGGGCTAGCTTGTAAAAGTTTTCTGAAAGATTGATATAAAATGAATGTTGTCTATGTGTCAAATTTTATTCCTTTGTTTTCGTTGGCTTCTGTGAATGTTTTTTTTCCATTTTTCATGTTGAATAATTATTCTTCTTGTATCTTTAGAACTAATAAAAATACTGCTTGGTTAGCATTACTACTAAGGCTAAATATTATAAAAGTCTTGGTTCTCAGGCACCGCCCGCATCATCATTACGTTTGCTGCATGTTTTGTTTAAATTTCTATATTTTTTTTAAATAAGAAAATCCTTAAATATTCCAAGTCCATCGGTAGTCAAATACTGTATTCATCAAGGAATACAATGTTATATGAGACCCTTTCCCAGGTTGATTGTGCACATCTGTTTATTTCATTACATACTAAGTTGAACATCACCCCCCCCCCCAAAAAAAACCACACACAAAAAACACACTGCCCGCCAGCACTATATTTTCAAAAGCCATTGCCTGAGAACCTATTCTTATATTTTTTATAAGCCTAATAATAATGATGTTAATATTATTTATAACATTAAATGTTGTCTCCTCCCTCTTCTGTTGCAGGTGTCATACATGTGCCAGGAAGCCCTGACAGTGTGTGAGTGCCTGGTGCACCCCCGGGCCCCCTGTCTGCGGGGACCACGCCTCACACAGACCACCCTCACAGTACACCGCACCACAGTGGTTGAAGCCGACCTAAATGGGAACAACATAGCTACAGACAGTCCCCAAGTATCCAACACACACAGCTCCGATGTACACACAAACTCTGTAACCAGTTCAGTGACTGACACCCATAGGTTAGAATCGGTATCCTCAGGTCATAACACTGTTGATAATTCACTGCATAGCGTGTTGTCAGAGTCAGTTCCTAAAGATTTGAATATATCCTCATCTAGTCTGCATTTGACAAACAGGACTGCTCCTGAAAGTCCTGAGAGTGTAGTAGACGAGGGAGTGACCAGCAGTGATGGAGTGGATGCTGTTGATGATGTTGAGATGCTGGACAAGACGCATGGTCACGAAACGAGTGAAGATATCGGCAGTGAAAAGTCTATGACACAGGAACAGGGGAGATCAGAGTTGGAGGTGGACAAAGAGTTATCTGCCCCTGTGTCAGGGACAGAGATGGTGGAAGATGTGGAGAGTGGGGAGGGGAAGGTGCTGCCATCGGCATCAATAGAGTCATCCCAACATGTCGGTTCAAGCGATCAGGGGATAAGGGTAAAATACTACATATTAATTACTTCTTTAAGCTGATGTGTTATTTGCAACTCAGCAAGTGTCACTGCCATATATTTTGCAATTATTTATCATATTTTGAACATCTTGGTTATGATGTCCCAAGTAGCCTACGTATGTTGCTAGAGCCGACTAAATGGATTGGGAGATCCAGCTCTGTTGTATGGTTCTCTGTGTGTTGTACACTGGTGAAATGGGACGTTGCTCGTAGCATTAATCACAGCTAGGTTTATCTGGTCAAGCCTCACATATTATAACTCTATGATGTACTTAAAATGGTGCTAAGAGTCAAGTTTGGGCCAGTAGACCAGCTAATAAAAGTTTTCTTTACATTGTCATATGGCATTAGGGCTCAGTCACACATTCAGGATTAATACTGCTGTCCTTGCTAAGATCATTCCCGATTAAAGTTGGAAGTTGAAACTGTGATGTTTTCTTAATACTTTTCTCCCTTATTCTCTGCATGCCCCTCAATAATGACACGGGGGGCTCTGTATAAAGAACTTGGTTTAACTTGCATCCTATGTAGTAGGATCATAGGCACGTAATCCACAGTTTGATGACATCAAGCCTGAGAAAGCATGGCAAATTACACGAAACACAGGTATTTGGGATGTATGGCAAATAAACTTTAGAGGTATTGAGATCAATTTTGTGTCAATTTCATCAAAATCATATCTTAGTTCTCGCTACCGCTAAACAAAGATCTGAGGACATCCCATTACGGGTCACGTCAGAATGACCTTTCATCTGACCAATCAGAGCGTCACTTATCAGATCATGAAAGTGACTGCTGGTATGTGATTTTTGATCATGCAACCTCGAAAAAAAACATACTGGGTATTCCGAACGACAGTTAAAGGCTTTATGTCTGTATTCATACAATCTAGATCATCTATTAGCCATTCCAGAATGTTCTTTTGTTCATTTTTTAATCAATATATGTCAAAATATGTTTCAAAGCGTAGTTGCCAGTTTGAAACTCTTGCCGTAAAGCTTGATTAAGCTGCCTTCTGATTGGCTATTGTCGACTTCTTGTCAGTCATTCCATTGGTCGGTCAAAGTTCACGAAAGGTTTGTCTGACGTGACCAGTAATGGGATGTCCTCAGACCTTTGTTTATCGGTTGCGAGAACTAAGATTGTGGGTTCAAATCCCGGTTCGCCCGATTATGTTTCTAGGTTTGTAAGCACCATACCCATGCTCGTGGGTTTCACCGAAGTGGTAAACCTCTGAGACCTGCATCACTTCAGGCTTTCCTCCCACATTCAGCTGCCACGCCATGACTGGAATACTGTTAAAATCAGCATTAAACTTAACTCACTCGTTTGGGGAAAATAATTTTTTCAAACATTTTCTCCAACTATATTAAACTTCCTGCCTCACTCAGAACCCATCAAATAGGGTGACTTTTTCATCTGATATTTTGAATTCTCCTTACAGAGTAGTGAGGTCGACGCCATGCTGTTGAGCTTTGTTGACGCTGGACCAGACTCGGACTAATCGGTGTCAGCAAATCAGTAATAAAGAGATCAAACTGTTCAAACCTTGTTCATTTCAATAATTTGACAGAAGATACAGCGGCCAGGGAGTCAAACCACATCCTTCTGTTCTACGAGCAGACACATGATCCACTACACCGCATACTGACTCCGAGGTGACCATCTCTTAAAGCTGACATGATAACCAGTATCGCCTTTTGGTATGACTATTGAAAGAGATGCAACACTGTACAGTGAATTGCAGCGTTGGGCACGGGTGGCCCAGTCGTTTAAGGCGCCGCGATTTGCTGTGCAGAGTTGCGTCCCTTTAGCACGCCAGAAATCTCTGATTGTGGGTTTGAATCCCGGTTTTATGTTTCTAGGTTTGACAGCACCATACCCCTGCTCGTGGGTTTCACCGAAGTGGTAAACGTCTGAGACCTGCATCACTTCAGGCTTTCCTCCCACATTCAGCTGCCACGCCGTGACATAACTGGAATACTGTTAAAAGGATGTAGTTAGAATTTGTGACCTGGCTAAACGTCTTCATGTGTACTAATCTGCTGATTTGGTTGATGCAAGTCATTGTGTCCCAATTGCATGGATCGATGCTCATGTCTATCACTGGATTGTCTGGTCCGGACTTGATTTTCTCTTTCTCTTGATAATTTCCAGACCACCATCATATAGCTGGAATATTGTTGAGTGTGGCATAAAACAACAAAACAATAAATCTTATTATTCTTGGGTCAGATGGCACAGAACGAACAATACATTATGCAACATTCACGCGCTCCATATAACGCCAGTATAGAAGACACACAAAATCGTTTCAAATCAGGTTTATTGGCTTTAACATGGAATAAATATATGTAATAATCTAATTCATAATTAAAACCCTCCGGCACACTACAAACTGGACATTGTGTCCACTCTCAACACGAAACTGCTGTGAATGTGTGCTTCACGGAGCCACCACAATACGGCTCAACACACACACACAGGCCATATCAGGATGTATTCTGTCAAGTGTGGTCACCTTGTTATCTATCTACACGTTTTGGACAGTACCAGGGAAATGGAAAAGAAACTGTAAACTATAAAATGATGTGAAACATTGGAACAACATCCAAGTAACCAATTAGTAAAAAAAAAAAAAAGCATTAAAAAAAGAATTATTGAATGAAATTAATTCTCATTAATATAATTCACATAAGAAAACAAATGTTTAAGTGCATTAATTTCATCCCTAAAAAGAAAAGTCGTATACTGAATGAAAAAAAGGTTAGGGATCATGAATACTTTGTGTTCTCAGCCTTCACAAAAATATTCAATTTCAAAACAAACAAAATCATGATCGCTAACTTTTTTTGTAAAGTATATATGAACGCAATGTATAAATATCAGGTTACTCACCCCTGTAATAACTTGGGTGAATCTTGGACAAACCAATTATTGACTTGAGGCCCTCTCATGGGCATAACAGTTTGTGTATAAACCTTTTTAACTAGTTTTAACCCCCCTTTTTCTCAAATGGGATTTCAGGAGATATAAGTAACAGTTCATTCTGATATAAGTAACAGTTCATTCTGATGCATACGACTAACAAGGTGGTAAAAAACACCTGATTTTTTTCATTTTACTAATTGTTTTATTTTCAACGCTGCACTCGGCTATATGACAGCGGTCATCAACAAAGTCGCCGAGCCATCACCCGGTCAGTTTGATCACCTCTTACGACCAGCATAGATTGTTGGTACCTATTCTCAGATTACTGAACTCGTCCTATGTCGAAGTCTGTGATGGTATCTCAACTACCCAAGGCCTTGATATCGTTAACTTGCCAGCTGATGTCAAGTAATACCTAGTTAATCCACAAACATCGCCTGCCGCCTGCCGGTGGGGAAGTCATAACCAAGGACCTCAACATTGTACACATGATTCGTTAATCAGGACGGGCTCCAGATCAGATGCATATCTGCATAAACTAAATCACCACAACCCAAATAATGTTGAGTTGCTTGCGTACAAATACGCATGAAGGAATTAGACAAGCCTATAGTATAACAACACTGTAATTGTCCAATGTAGCTTGTTCAGCTTGTGCGATGTCTTTACAGATCTTTACCTGCTGACCATCTTCCAGGAGCAAGTGAGTTAGCTGTCTTTATAAATCCAGTTTCAACCCTTTTCCCAACTAGGCTGGGATTTCTGGGCTCGACCCAGTGGCGATTATGAGTTTTGTCCCTTCCATGACCCTCCTATTGACCAATCAGATTCTACCTCTCATATCACTTGCATTTGCTTTGTAATAAAACGGGTCTTACTTTGCGAAGTGCATAAAATCACATGAGCACCTTGATCAAAAACGTGAAAACATTCGGAAAATATCAACTGATGCTTAGTTGGCGGTACACATGCTATGCAAATCCTGCAATTGATCAAAATCTGCACAGCAGTTTACGAACAGGATGTCCATTTGTTACATGATGGGACCATGCATAAACTCGTGAGTCCAGCAAAAATAGAACTCCATAATTCCAGCCTAGTTCGGCAAGGGTGGAAACTGGACTTTCATAGTCAGTTAACTCACTTGCCTCAGTAAGATGAGTCTGACTGTAAGCAGGTCTCAAAAATATGAACGTGACTGCAGTGAATTCTTCTCCTGTAAAATTGTCGAGAGGACTTCTTGTGACTGAAATACTTCGAACAACAAGTATGTAGATCGTTAGTTACTCGATATTTCAATAGAAACACTTTGTGCAACATTCTACCTTGTTGTAACAGGCAAAAAGCATTTTTCTACCCTTTCCGACAGAACTTTAATTAGAAGTTACCTGAAACAGCACTGAAGTAGAATTATTTTTAACCGAGTCCACACACAAATTTGCAAAACCCAATCGACTGGATCCAAGAGATTAAAAATATAGTAAATAGCCCCACCCACAAAACTACCAATGCCCAATATAAATGATAAGTATATACTCAATGCCTCACACACTATCTGAAGACCTGTTAGGAACTTTGCTAATCCAGACACTAGTGTCCAGATTAACCAGGTTGTACTGTTCATGGTACCAGGTATATTTACAAAGCAGGCAACAGAATTCAATCCATGTACACAAGCAGTATAAGGTACAGCAAAACAATGTTAAGTATGTACTTACTAGGTAAGTAAACAGTTTTCCAAGGAAATATACGACTCAAAAGAAGTTAAAGGACACCCTTTCTTTCATATTACTATTGTTAATCTGTCGCTTCTTTTGAGTAGTATACATATGCAAGTCAAACAAATAAAAAATATAGATTTAGCAAAATCACTATCTAGGTATTCTATACACACTAAACAATCTCATGGAAATCAAATCTTTACTCCAATATGATACCTATGCATGAATATGCGACAACCCCTCCATAGCAAATTATGTCAGGTAAACTTTCTTATAAGTGTCCAGACTTCAAATTTATTTGTACTTGTGCATGCTGAGCCGCAGATCTTATTTGTTTCTTAAAAAGAACCTAAATGGACAGATCCGAATGTAAATAATAAAATATGCTATGAACGAGTGAAGCATTCTGCACAGCATATGTGATTTCTGTATCTTGCAAAAAAACTTAGCAGACAGTTCAACATGCAAATAATAAAGGCCACACATGCCTATATTGCAAACATCTGCATGCCAAAAGGTAGTAACAACACAGGAATATTTGTGTCTTGTTGGTTTTCTGTTGTTGAATTTGAAACTTTTAAATTGAGGTGGTAAAGAAATGAAGCTGAAACATATTACAAAGCTACAACTGATTGGCTTAAGTTCCCATGCATCCTTTATTTGGATTGGGCAGTCAAAGGGTTAATCTGACACGATCTTCTGTGGAAGGCTTTTCAAATCCCACACAGATGTATCGCATCGGAGTAAAAGTTCTGCATTGAAAGAGATTGCGAGTGAAATATATTATGACATTTACAATTACTTTTGAAGTATTTATTGTGCTTATTTTCTTAAAACACAGCTCTAGGGGCGGTCGGGTAGCCTAGTGGTTTAAGCGTTAGCTCGTCACGCCGAAGACCCGGGTTCGATTCCCGACATGGGTACAATGTGTGAAGCCCATTTCTGGTGTCCCCCGCCGTGATATTGCTGGAATATTGCTAAAAGCGGCGTAAAACCATACTCACTCACTCACTCACTAAAACACAGCTCGGCCAATGAGAGATCACCATTTAATCACATGGTCCACACAGTCTACACTCAAATAATGATAATCATACAAATCAGTTTATACACTAACAAGAACATGTTTTTTGTGTGCTTCATACAAAATATGGTATTTAGCAGCTCATTAAAGCAATACTAAGATATTGATACTCTAGACAAAATCCAATGCTTATATATAATTCCATGGCACTTTCAGCATCACAACCTTGTTCTTCAAGGCTATTTCAAATCTCCTGTTACACCGATTATATAATTATTGTTCTGTGAAGAATTCTATGGGGAGGGGGAGGGAGAGGGGGAGGGGGGAAAGCGTTGGCAGAATCTATAATACTATCAAAAGTAACCTCAACATGCAACATTGCATGTCTCTTTCATATGGACTCAATAATGTTTTGTTTAGAAAACGAAAACTACCACAGCGAACATTATCTCGCCCGAAAGCCAAATAGGTGGGTTGGGCTTAACGCTGTTTAGAACCAATTTTCAGTCCTATCATAGCGTATCAGCTGAATCAAACCATGGTGCTGACAAACCAAAGAAAAATTAGGGAAGTCAGGGACTTGAACCCACGAACGGACGATTCCGGCTTCAGATGTTATCACCAGTGCTCCACCGCAAATCACAGGGCCCAGAATATTGTTGGGTTTACTTTGCCTATAGGGAGGCTGTAACATCTCAGCCAATCGTTATGAATATAACACTGAGTAAAATGGTTAACAAAATCCAAAGTTTATCTATCATTCAACCTTTAAATGTATTAACAATGAGAATGATTGTCAACTGTTCACTCCTATTAACTTTCAAACTAGTAAACTGAATTCTACAGTTTCCATGGTGATCAGCTAAATAATCTTTTTTAAAGATCTGAAAAAGTCACTGAATCAATCTAAAATTGAGGTAGATGACATCAAAAATGTCAATTTGACTGTTTTTGTAGGAACTGAATAATGCCCTCAGAAAAATACAGTGTGGTTTTCTCCGCTTTAACATAACATTGTATTAAATGATTAAACTATATAAATTCTTGTCTCTCTTATACTTGTGCGTAATAAAAGTATGTGAGGTCAACCTAAAGGCAAACCAAAAATATCGCACCAATATTGAGCATATTTTTGATAAGCAATGAATGAGTACAAAAAAATCATTAATTAAATTTATGAAATAAAAAATTATCAAAATAATGTCAATCCATGCTAATTTTGAGGCCCACCAAAACTCCCCCCACCCCCTCCACCCACCCCTCCCCTGATCAACCCATTACTTCACCTGCACCCAGGAAAACGAACAAATATGTTGAAAATATATGTGAAAATGTCTGGTTCTCAGGATCTAAAAGCATTTGTTTAACATCACCAGTTTAACATCCTGCCAGACATCCCCAGTTGAACATCCCTGTGTAACATCTGTTTAACATCACTGCCTGGCATCCCTGTGTAACATCAGATTAACATCATTGCCTGACAGCCCTGTGTAACATCAGATTAACATCACTGCCTGACAGCCCTGTGTAACATCTGTTTAACATCACTGCATGGCATCAGCAGTTGTACGTCCCTGTGTAACATCTGTTTAACATCACTGCATGACAGCCCTGTGTAACATCAGTTTAACATCACTGCCTGACATCCCTGTGTAACATCAGATTAACATCACTGCCTGACAGCCCTGTGTAGCATCAGTTTAACATCACTGCCTGACAGCCCTGTGTAACATCAGATTAACATCACTGCCTGACAGCCCTGTGTAAGTCAGATTAACATCACTGCCTGACAGCCCTGTGTAACATCTGTTTAACATCACTGCATGGCATCAGCAGTTGAACGTCCCTGTGTAACATCTGTTTAACATCACTGCATGACAGCCCTGTGTAACATCTGTTTAACATCACTGTCTGACAGCCCTGTGTAGCATCAGTTTAACATCACTGCATGACAGCCCTGTGTAACATCAGTTTAACATCACTGCCTGACAGCCCTGTGTAGCATCAGTTTAACATCACTGCCTGACAGCCCTGTGTAGCATCAGTTTAACATTACTGCCTGACAGCCCTGTGTAACATCAGTTTAACATCACTGCCTGACAGCCCTGTGTAACATCTATTCAACATCACTGCCTGACATCCCTGTGTAACATCAGTTTAACATCACTGTCTGACAGCCCTGTGTAACATCTATTCAACATCACTGCCTGGCATCCCTGTGTAACATCAGTTTAACATCACTGCATGACATCACCAGTTGAATGAACCTGTGTAACATCAGTTTAACATCACTGCCTGACATCCTTGTGTAACATGTTTAACATCACTGCCTGGCATCCCTGTGTAACATCTGTTTAACATCACTGCCTGACATCCCTGTTTAACATCACTAGTTGAATGAACCTGTGTAACATCAGTTTAACATCACTGCATGGCATCCCTGTTTAACGTCTGTTTAACATCACTGCATGACATCACCAGTTGAACATGCCTGCATCAATTGAACATCTCTGCACATGTACATAACATCACCAGTTTAACACAATTACACGGCATCATCAGTTAACATCCCAGTGAAACATCAGTTAACATCACTGCATGACATCACCAGTTAACACCACTGTATGACAGCATCACATTTCCACTTTCTGACTCCAGGTAGCACAGTATTTCACAGTAACAATATAGGGTAACAAATATTTCAAAATGCATAGCCTGAGAACCACATTTCCATTTTGTTTTTCCACTCATGGTATTAATAACAAGTACAGATCATAACAGGTAACCATGGCAACTGTGTTGTGACTTCATCATATTTATCCCAAATCAAAAAAATATCTCTCCCATGATTAATCTTGCCCATCCTATTTGTCCATCAAACAGCTAATTCCATTCAAAGCACAGCGAGAGGCACATTACCAGACTCACAATGGGACTAGAAATAACAGCGAAATCACTCGTAATATCTTGGTTTTCTTCGAAACTGGTACTGCTCCGCCCCTCCCTTGAAGCGTTCGGCCGCTATGCGAAACTTCTGCTCCAAGTTAAACTGCTTCTGCAGCCTCTGCGCCATCTTCCTATCCTCCTCTTCCTGGCTGAACACCTCCGTCGTGTCACTTGAAGCATCTTCATCTCGATCTTCCCGCATGTCAACGTCACTAGGTCCACTCAAGTACCTGACAATAGACTGCTGGTCACTGGTCGTGTGACGACGGCGACCCCTCCCCTCCAAACCTTGCTGCGACTTCCACGCCCTTGAGCTTACAGACTTAGTCCGTTTCTTTTCCAGCTGGGTTTTCCCTTTTCTTGGACTGGGGGAACTTTCAAAAGCGTTGTCTAGGTCAGACACGATACTGGATTTTGCTCGAACTCTTTTCCGTGGAGAGGGTCCGGAACTGTCAGCACTAGACAGTGTGTCGGAACCACCCCGCTTCCGACTCTGTCGTCCCTTCGGCGGTGACGCCCCCCCACTGCTGTTGTTCCTGTGCGTATTCGGGTCCACATTCTCTTCCAGAAGTTCCTCAGTTGCACATTTTTTCAGTTTTGACCTCTTGCTTGGTAGAGGTAGCTCCATTTCTTCCGACAAATTCTTCGTTTTGGTTTCAGATGGACGTTCTAAGTCAGTCAAGTCAGCCTTCTTTGGGGATCTTTTCGGTGGTGTTTTTGCCGATGACTTCTTAGGAACCGTCTTCGTTGGTTTGGGCATAGAAACCATATCACATGTATTTTCATCAGAAGACATCCCATTGTCACTCATCCTCCACTCCTCATCTGTTTTTTTCAACCCCCTTGACCTCCCTCTCCTTTCAGGTTTACAAGCACCTGAAGCTTCACCTTCCGGGTCACATTTAGAATCATTGCCAACATCCTCACCCACTTTTCGACCTTTTCTTTTTCTACCAAGAAATTGCGACTTTGTTTCCCGGTCAGAAAGGTCAAGACTGTTTGTGTCCGTTCCCATCCCTTTCCTCACTTTCCCCAGGTTCTTCTTAGCAGGAGACATGGGTTCAGCATCAGATTCACTGATCCAGTTCTGACTCTCGGGATCAAAGTTAGGATCTTCCTTAGCTTTTCTCCTCCTCGATCTATGAGGAGGAACACATGCTTTTGTTTCAGCTCCTAAAGGTTCAGCATCACAAACTTTTTGGGCAACATTCATACGATGCTTTCTTCCGATTGTAATTTCACTTTCGGATTCACTTTCACTCAAACTAGACTTTGACACTTTAGCACTATCTGTTCCCTGACACTGTTTCACTGTGTCATCAACCGAAACCTCCTGTTCACTTTCGGAACAATCCAATTCGCTGACATTTCTACGTGAATGATGCCGCCGTTTACGATTTCTCACTTTTCGAACACTGGACTGCAACACCAATAGTTTTTCAGGGGTTTTAATCGTTCTGTTCCCTGAAACTTTCCTCCTCCTCCTCCTCCCCAATTTTTCTGAACCTTGTTCGAAGTCGTCATCACTGATGGATTCACTGATAGCCTCCCCCTTCTGCAGTCCCCTACCCTTCCGCCTGCCAGGCTCCGAGGCCCCAGGATCACTAACAAAACTGGAGTCACTCTTCAGGGGACTCACATCAACCTCACTAAGGTGGGCCACAGTCTTATTTCTCTTGGTTCGTTTAGGTCCGCCCTTCATTCGAGTCTTCCAATTCCCAGTCTCCCCATCCCCTATAGTCAACACCTGATTCACTCCCGTGATTGCACCGTTTGTTTCAAGGATGCTCTTCGAAGGCAGCATCACTCCACCAGCATCCCCATCACCTCCCCCTCGCCCACTAGAATTGCACTCGCTTTTCCCAGGCACCTGCTTCACGTTAGCATTTTTGTCCACTTGCTGATTCTCACCGATCACATCCGAATTCTCCTCGAACAAATCTGGAGACTCAGTTTTGCTTTTCCTGTCTGCTGTCTTGAACCAATCTTTTATCGACCGCTGAGGGCTGATAACCTGAGCCTTCAGATCCCTCTGCCCTTTGAGATCATTGGACACGTGTCTCGATCTCTGGAGCCTATTGTGTGTTGGTGTCTTGGATCGAACGTCTAAAGTACTAACTGAAGGTTCCTCTTTCTCTTTTGGGGGTGACGCAGTTGGTGATGTACCTGGATTTCTAATATTAAGTAGCACAGGAGTAATGTCTTCGTAGTCGTGATCTTCAAGGATTGGTTCTAAAGGAATCAACAGCCCGGACCGGGAACCGAGGCTGTCTGGCAGGTCAGTCTGAACAAGAGGAGGAATAGGATCAGACTTGTGCAGAGGTGGACGGGACAAGTCACTTGAAAGTGTTCTCTCTCTACCTAGAGGGTGGGACTTCTTATCATCCCTATGAAGTTCATCATCTGGTCCAGTAGAAGTGGATTTGGATCTTTCCCGAACCAGCTGCTGTCTCTCAAGAGCCAGTTCATTCAACCGTTTCTGCATGATCGGACTCCCGGGTTCCAGGCCCGGACTCGTCACAGCATCGACCGGCGATCCGAACCCGTTCCGGGAGAGATTCCGCGGAGTGGTTCGCACAAAGGGTGGATCCAGCACCTTTCCGTCCGCCAGCTTCCTGGGAGGAGTTCGAGGGCAGGACAGGATGGGCTTGAAGTGGCACAACTCGTTGCTGATGCTATCGTTACTGGCAACACTTTCACTTCGTTCCTTAGCACTGTCACTTCTCTCTCTACCAACATCCGATGAAGAGTCGGATATGGTCATCACTTCATCACTCGGAGGTCGAACCACGGTACTCGACTTCGGAGCATTTGGCTGAGGACAGTAAGAATGATCTACCAGATTAAAGGGATACAACTCCGTTTTAACACTACTACTGCTCAGTTTCCCAATGGAGGAGTTGGACCGTGAGTTGTCTTCCCCTTTGTCCTTGTCGGAAGGACTGATGCAGGGGTATGGGTAGGGGTCGTTAGACGGACAGCGAGTGTCAGTCTCTGCCTTGTATTTGTTGAAGAATGTTTCCAGTGTTCCGCTGTTGCTTTGTCCAGACTTAGTACTCGTGGCAGAGTTGCTCCGCGTCATGCGTGACCTTGACTCTTCCAGCAGGAGGTCAATCGGATCATCTGTGCCAGCCTGGAAGAAACAATGAGCTTTTAATAATATTGCAACAAAATAGAATTAAAGCTTTGTCATAGTTACCTTCCATTAATGATATTTCCCATAATAGAACAAAGAGTTATCTCCCTTTAATCATATCTCCAGCCCAAATGAAAGAAAACATTCTGCTGACATTTTTGGCAATAACACTTTGTGGGAATGCATCAAGCATTTTGTGGGAATTTGTATTAGCCAGGATTGTTGAGCAAAGGCAAATACCCAATATCCACTCACACTATTTCAGTGAGTGAGTGAGTGAGTGAGTGAGTGAGTGAGTGAGTGAGTGAGTGAGTGAGTGAGTGAGTGAGTGAGTGAGTGAGTGAGTGAGTGAGTGAGGGAGCGAGCGAGCGAGTTGTAACATACAGGACATTATTTCTGTTCAGCTGAAGTGAGGCAGTTTTGTACATGTTAACCATTTTGTGAAACCCACAAGCACAGAGTGGAGAGGACAAAGTTTATAATCAGTATAAATCTGGGCGTAAATCAGCTGATCCTGGCATGGCCAAGGGACACAACTCTGCATGATGAATTCAGTGTCTTAACATGTAGGTTAAGATAGTTAAAAACAATAAAAAAATAAGTGTAAATAAAAAAAAAAAACGAGTGACAAATAATTAATCCATCCCACAGCTGACCTCATTAATGACCTTGTCCAGTTCGCGGGCGAGTGCCTCGTCCGTCTCGTTGGCCTGCAAGGCCTGCAGTTGGCGGTGGTGACGGTCTTGATCTTCCTCTTCCTGGAGACGCCGGATCAGCGCCTCACTCTCCAGCTCCTCGCGGCGCCGCTCCTGGTTCAGCTGTTGCCGAAGCTGTAACACGGCAAGCAGCGATGATTACAAACAGATGCATAGAAATCTGGCTTATAATAGACATATACAGTCATGGGGGCAAAGATCCCATGGCCAGAGGGCCGAGACACATCAACCTTTTTTAGTACACACAAGCAATACTTGCTGTCACTAAATGTCCTGCTTGTCCTGGAGTGTAAAATCACTTGTCTACATCAACATCATGACTTCCCTGTTTAGGGCGTAGTGTAACTGCCTACATCGATACTGACGCCTATCTTGCTTCTGCTGCTATCATCTATAAGAGCTAATGTATTTCTGGTCATGTGAACACTTCTTAGTTTACTTTCAAAATGGAGGCATGTTCAAATCATTGAAGAATATTTCGACATGTTTTCAAGAGCCATCGCTAAGCCAAACTGTCTATCACAGAATGATGACGTGAATGACATAACTATGGCTAATACTGTCAGCAGTCCCAAAAGGCTTTTATAAGATGCAGGTGTAGGTGGGGATGGTGGAATCAGGGAATTAAGCATTGGGATGCAAGACGACCGAGATTACTTCGTCCGCTAATTGTCCGTGTCTGATCGTAATAAATGAATCGGAGATCCAAGCAAACTCAAAAAACAAACATTGGAATAAAGTGAAAAGGCAGGTGCACTGACGCGTTGAAGGTAATTGGCTGAGCAAATTCCAGTGATGGTCTTTCGACAAGGGTAATTGTTCAACATGTTCAATGACTTGTCTTTATTGCAGCAAGTGTTCAAAGTTTGTTGTTCAGACACAATATAACAATTGGAATGTTTTCCATCTTGTCTTGTTATTTAAAATCCAAAATATAAATTTGTTCGTAAGCCTACATCAATGTGGCTCCCCAAATTGTAATGTGACTCCTTAAACTTTGAAATGGCACCCAGAAAAATATTGTCAGGAGCCAAGTGGCTCCCAGCAAAAAATCTGAGCTTATAATGCTGCAGATTCAGTTTTTTATAACGTAGATTAGATACATCTGTAATAATAATGAAGCTGTCTATAACAGATGCAGCTGGTTATAACGTAGATTAGATACATCTGTTATAACAATGAAGCTGTCTATAACAGATGCAGCTGGTTATAACACCCTCCCTCACCTTGTTCAGCTCCTCCTCGTACTCCTTCCTGATCTCCCCCGGGGCTGCCAGATGGACTGGCCGATGAAACGTCACTGAAAACACAAACACCAACATACATCAGCTTCATCTACGACATAAACTGTCCTCACAATTCACACGTGGTGAAACTGACTGTCACAGGGAAGTGGACACAAAAGAAGGCAAAGGAGTCTGTGATTTTGCTGGAATTAAGACATTTTCCTTTTATCAATTCTTGATAGGACATGCTGAAAAACCTAGCAGACAATCTCAATTTGTCCAAAAACAGCCTACATTGCAGAGTGCTAGCGCTAATCCCTGCAAGTGACAACTGAATGAAGACACGATTGACATGTGTGATACTACAGATGAACCAAAGCCAAAACTATCTAAAACTAAATCAGTGCGAACTCCCTGTAAATGGCTTCTTCCAAAGTACAAATCGTGGTTAATATGTGACCAAGATAAAAGTTTATTTTTTTGCAAAACTTGCAAAGAGTATGGTCAACCAGTTGGAAAAGATGGACAAATAGTTTTCTTCTTCAATGGTGCAAGGGGCTTTAGAACTAGCAAACTTCAAACACATGTACAATCCAGTGTACACTTAACCTATCAGGTGTTCATTATGCATTTTTGACAAAACCAGATAAATAGCAGTTGGAAGAAGGTTTAATTGTCTCAAATAAAAAAAACCAGAGGGAAACATGGAAAACATTAGTCATAGTCATTGAGTAATATAGACAGGCACACCCAAATTGAAAATTTACAACAGGAAGTTGTTTAGCAATAGTAGGACAGGCACTTTATGGGGAAAACTCTCTCACTTTACAGTTTCATTTTGTCAAGACATGGAATAAACATTAGCGAAAGTACTCTCAATGAACATGACCATGCCCCCGAGGCACTGTACAGCAAATTCAAGCATGCCATTACTTTTTTATGTGTGCACTCGGCACGGCACTACTATTCCAAGACCTGTCCTCTTAAACTGAAAAGGAGCGCCAGTGAGATGGAATGAACCTGTATAAAAATCTAGACTTGCTTCATTTAGGGCTATAGCTTTACAGTAAGCATGGGAAGGGACATTAATATTCTTCAGGGACTGAGACAGTCTACAAACACCAGGATGTACTTTGATATTGAACATATTCCTTCCGAAACTTCTGATAATACAGGCCTCAAAGTTGAGACTATAACAGTCGCCAATGAACCCAAATTTCAATTTGTCTACTTTCTAAAATTTAGAGTTAATCAAATGACTACCTTGAAAAAAGTATCCTGTGGCGACTAAATTCTATTGCTACACATATGTAGACACAAAAATAAACATGTCTGCTACTAACTGTACTCGCAAATAATTCCTCCTTAAGTCAACAATGAACCGAAACACATAAATATTAATGTAATCAGTATTTTGTTTTAGTTGATAGTTTATTGGATAAGCAAAGGGTATACCTATATAATCAAGTAACATAAATTGCATCATTGTTCGAGTCACAAATAACAAAACTAAAGTACAGTTTCCACTAATATACAATTCCAAGACTAGTGCTATGACTTGTACAGATAATAGTTATTTCATAAAAGACCATTTCAAAGGCTTTTGGCTACCTACAATATTGTCTTGATTTCTTGGTTTTACCATTGGCTACGTGGAAAAAGATACTTGTAGCCATATGGCTACTTGGTAAAAATTTAAATGGAGGGGCGGGGGGGTTAATATCAAAATATTCGTATATTTTATTTTGACATGCCCTAAATATCCTCCGGGCAAACAACAGTCAAAGAATACATTCCTGTTTTTCCTTCTGGGCAGATAACTTCCTATTCTTGATTTACCATGTTCACAGATGATATCATATTTGTTATAGCAAAGTATGCTGTTTTCTATTTATTTATTTTTATCACGTTTTTGTTAAATAAACCTGATCAAACACCTATAACATGATGAACGCCTGCGATACAAACACTCATAAACAGTATAAAATACTGATAAAGACGTGAAAAAAATGGGTTGCACATGTTGCAAGTGAAAAGTTTTCAGGAATACAGAAATATTTTTCCAAACCTAAGATTCTACACTGAGCAATGCAGTACCACTGAAATTGTCGTTTTCATCCCCTCCAAAATATCATGAAGTATGGAACCATGTCTTGGGATACCATTCTCAAGATTCTTGTCAGAAATGTATTTATTTCAACTTGTCCACAAACATATCTGCTACCAAGATGCCATCTATTTTAAGGTAATAAAAGTGGTAGTCGACAAGGAAATGTCACTAGTCCTTCCTTAATTCTACACGTCTCAGACTATGAGACTTTTAATGTCAATCTAGTTACACCTTAGTTACTGCATTGCTCCTATTTATGTCACGGCTTAGAAGCAAATACACCATTGTCAATTTCCATCAATAAACTGTCCCTTACATACGTATGTCCTGCAAGCAATTAATTCAGCTTCCATGGATACACCTCTCAAAACAAACAGACTTCCTCAGATAAAAGGCTACACCAAAACACACAGTGAACGGGTATCTATCAAAATAGCCCACTAACTGGTATACTGTCAACACTGGTTAGCTGCATACTCCACCGCAGTGCTGGGCCAGACAGTGGAGGAAATACCTTGTGGAACTGGCTCATGATGGATGACAATACACTGCATGGAGCCAAACTTCTTCATTCTATTTTAGATGATCTTGACCGTGTTGATCAAACAAAAATACCTTTACCTTATATGTTATATATTTTCTATTTTTGACCTTTTTTATGACACAGAAAAATAATAATAGGCTTAATGTGAAAAAGACTAATTTGTGCTACCATTAACCATAGTTACAGCCCCCACCTCCATGTTTTAGCAGAAACTATCACTGACTGAAATAGATATAATATATATTCAAAGTGTGTCACAAACATTTTGCAATACATGACTTATTGAAAACCTTTGCCATTTTAACATGGATACCCCACTCTAACACAGTATATTGACTCTGAGCAGACCAGTGCTTGTTTTATCTACCTTAATGCCGAGCAGTTGCTAGGGTAACAACAAGTACCACCTGTTAATGTCTATGGAATGACTCGACCTGAGATCGAACCCCAGACCATCTGCTCTATCCACTTGACCAATGAAGGTGGTCAAAATATGATAAGGAATGAGTGTGTGTAATTGTAAAGATGCAGAATTCCTACATCATGCAAAACCCTGCCAAAGTGAGTGAGTTTGTGAGTAAGTATGTTTTTAGCCGCTTTTAGTAATATATTCCAGACACCGGAAAATGGGCTTCACACATTGTACCCAGGTGGGGAATCGAACAAGTGTCTTTGGCGTGATAAGCCGACGCCTTAACCACTAGGCTACCCCAACAAACCGACTCCACCCCACTCCCGCCAAAGTACCTATGATAATTCAATTAAAGAACAAGTTGAAATTAACAGCGAATAATATTTCATTCTGCAATTACTTCTCTCAACATGTCAAAGAATCTTAGTCAAAGAAAAATAAATTTCATTTTATTTGAAGTCAAATAAACAGAATAATCCAGAGTCCGGGCACATGTAAAGCCAACGAAGCAACTACGCAACAGTGACAACCAGAATCAATTGATCAAACACTCTGTACGTGAGCGCCCATCTTTGGTGCCTCTTTGATATAACAGTAAATAAGGACAGCAGTGTCGGCTCCAGCCCAGCGTCACTTTCACTATTGATGAATCACGGCGTAGTACAGGGTGTGTAAACACTGAGGCAATGCGATACCAGGTGGGGCACTACATCTGCTCCCATGTAGGAAGTAGGCAAGGAAATATGCTGAGACCATCATTATTTCTCTTCTGCAATACGAGACAACCATTGAAGCTATTTTCTCTCTCAGCGGTGTGGGATTAAATACGGACAGCATGGGAAGGATGAGCTGGTGGTGGTATTGCGACATAAAAGCTCACAATTAATCAAGAAATTGATTATTGATACATTTGTTTAACATAGCTCTATATAATCAAGCGACATTGGAGTCACCTGCCCTTTCCCATTCATAATTACTAACAACCCACTTGAATAGCAATATATTCCCATATGATTAACTTTGATGCCAATTCTGGTACTAAAATTGCAAGTGAAATTATAAAGTTTATAAAAGGACTTATAAACATGATAAATGTATTCAGCTGACCAAGATCAAGGATTTATCTAGGATTCTAAATTAAGTGCTTTTGGCAAGCAGATTCGAATCAATCACTATTTTCTTCAAAATCTGGATTGTGATCAGTTCTGTCTTAAATGCAGAGATCTTTAACACTGTATGTCCCCATTACATCAAGGCAATGATGTAAAACTTCTTCCTTACTGGCCCCGTTATTAATAAAACACAAGTCACATCACCAAAGCTGTGACATTAGTCATAAATATGCAGTGTATGTACAAACTTAATCATGGAACTACTTATTTATTATTGAGTTTGGAATTTTGGACGAATATTGTCCTCCAAGCAGGCCCAGATAAACATGATAAATCAACAAAATGGATTAGTATCATATCTGCACTCTGAATACCATAAGGACAATCTACAAAACTTGATTTTTGTCATCAAGCATTATATTATGGAGTGGTGTTTATACAGGAAAAATTGCAAAATGTTGTTTATATTGATAAAATGTATCAATGTCACGTCCAGCAATCAGAATTACCTAATATCTCTGGATCAATAAAATATTCAAAAACATAAAGAATGATAAAGAATGATAAACAACAACAAAATTACAAACATAATTTATCTCATCCTCTGACATTGAACTGTTATAAATGTGTTGACAATGCCACCAGCCTTGGGGTGAAACGATACATGATACGTTTTTTCTGTATCGATACCAGACTTAAACATGTTAAAATAAAAAAAATAAAAAATTACTCACTACTTGTTTAATGACCCAGCAATATCTTGAGAGGAGTGTAACTATGATTTGAAGTTCACTACTAAAAATAGCCACTACCAACATGCGTCTGCAGCTTGCTTTACCTATTGAACCTGCTCTGAAATACTATTAGTCAAGAAGTCTCCACATGATTTGATGTAAATATGCATATCACGATATGTATCGTATTGTGACCTATGTAGTATTAATGTTGTAAATGCGTGACCGTAACTTGACAAATACTAGTTTTGTTTTTTTGTACAAAATTCACAAATTGGCTAAATACGGCCATACATATGTACAGTACGAAGCATGATTCCGAACATTGAATAGGCTTCATCTACATGTGCACAAAGTAGGTCACTGTCAGTGACAGATCAATGGCGGCAAATGTATTTTCAATATTTCGTGGTTTCATCAAAGCGTCCATAAGTTGGTTGGTTGGTTGTTTAACGCCGCACTCAGCAATATTCCAGCTATATGACGGCAGTCTGTTAATAATCAAGTCTGGACCAGACAATCCAGTGATTGATATCATGAGCATCGATCCACGGAATTGGGATCGATGACATGCATCAACCAAGTCAGCAAGCCTGACCACCCGATCCCGTTAGTCGCCTTTTACGACAAGCATGGGTTGCTGAAGACCTATTCTACCCCGGAATCTTCACAGGTCGCATCCATAAGTGAACTACTGAGTTGGGATGCTGTTCTGATCTTACAGAAAGATTTTGTTTGGCCTGAAGTTATCTCTATCGCTAAACAAGGATCTGAGGGACATCCTATTAAGGGTCACGTCAGAACGACCTTTCATCCAACCAATCAGAGCGTCGCTTACCAGATCATGAAAGTGACAGTCGGACTGTGTTTTCTAATCATGCAACCACGAAATATTTAACACGGGTTATTCCAAACGACAGTTACGGGTTTTATGATTATATCCATACAATCTAGGCCATCTATAAGCCATTCCAGAGTGTTCTTCTTATCAGTTTTAACTTTTTTAATCAAGAATACATCAAAATGTTTCGAAGCGTAGTCGCCAGTTTGAAACTAGTGTCATAAAGCTCGAGAAAGCTGCCTTCTGATTGGCTAATGTCGATTTCTTGTCAATCATTTCATTGGTCGGTCAAAATTCGCGAAAGGTCGGTCTGACATGACCTGTAATGGGATGTCCTCAGACTTTGTTTAGCGGTAGCAAAACCTAAGGTGTGATTTGAATGAGATTGTTACTTGTGTTTGGTGGCCACAAATCCAAAATCTACTGGAACAAGAGATCTGGTGAAGGGTAGTTGTTATTATAAACAAGGAACTACTTCAGACATTCACAAAGCCATGCACAGGTACTGTAGCGATGCAACTTTACTCTAAAAGGCACCTTAAAGTCTGTGTAATGCTTTTGACACTCTGATGCGAGGTGAATTAAAAATTTAAAAATCTTATCTTAATATCAAAATAACTGTTCCAGCAACTGCTGTGGCAAATCTTTAGATTAATTGCTGTATACCCCATCTCTCAATCAAGATCTGATTAGCATTAATAATATTGACTTATTGGTAATTTTCGTGCAGACTTATATATAAGAAAAACAAATGATATTATGAATAGATAAATCTGATTATTAATAAAACCAGTTGACTCCAAATAGTCCAAAGGCTTTCACTGAGGAGCCAAATGTCTCCCAGGATGAAAACATCTGGGAGAAGTCTTTATTGTGGTATAGGTTGTCCTTTATAATTCAAATAAGAGAAAAGGCCTCAACTGTCTTTTGTACATGAAGCTTTCAGAAATATGTTGTTTAAATATTAGCGTTCCTGTTTACCGGTAATTACCAGTTTTTTACCGGTAAAATTAGGCTTGGATCGGTAATTCATGTGACTGCCAGTCCCTGTGGACCAGCAAATAAAGTACCTTATAAATCTTTGTTGTTGAACAAAACATCAGTGATATTCATATAAGTACATTTTTCAAACAAAGTCAGCTTTTCTGTTACCATCAGGGTTTCCCCTTGTCTATTTCTGGGTTAAATATCCATTTGTAGCGTCTTGAAATATTAAAAAAAAAGAGAGAAAATTGTGACTGTTTGTGTGAATATCATAAAGATCTTACTTAGTTACTTCAGGATGACATCTTTGCACTGAACATAATGTAAGATTAAAAATTAAATCAAATAATTTGCATATATTTTTTTATTTGTTGAAAGTTGGGATTGGCAAAAATTATGGGGGACTGGTAATTTTTAGAGTTTTTAAAAGCCAGCGGAAACACTGCATAATGCAGGGGGGGGGTGGATCTGCAATATGCTCATAATGCTATATTTTACTGTTTAATTGCCCGGTAGCTTGCAATCAAAGAACTGAAAATGTTGCATGACCAGATTACAGATTACTACCTATTAAGGGTGCTTATATATTACGTGAACACTGCTGAGACATGTGGCTGTGAGAATGGTACTTGTCAACTCAATGCCCAGACTTAAACCAAGGTTTTCTTTCTTGTTTCTCTGGGTTTTTGTTCATTATTGTCAATACTAAATAAATTCATAGTTTATCATTTTAAATAAAAAAAATGATTGGAATTAACACAAGTACCAAAAATGAAATAATTGCAAAGATTTTATTTTTTGCTAATGTTAAATGTGTCACTGCAGTACATTCTTGATAAAAAAAATATATTAATGACACCAATCTGATATTTTACAGACGTAGATCCCTGACCCTGTGACACTTGGTGACCATAGCAACACTGTTAGGCTGCTGATACTCAGCATTGCTTTTATTCTTAACTGATTTTACTCACTTCATGTATTTTGTGCATCATATGAGACAACTTGGCATATTTTCATGATAATATTATATTATTTTATTGGAATTGAACAGCATCAGGTTACTGCATGTTTATATCTCATCCTCTCAGTCCTATGTTCCAAAAGTATTTCTAAGATGTGAATGTTTGAACATAAATTTAGCAAGTTTAAATGAGAAAACCCATCTCTCTCACACTGATACTGATAATGTGAGCTAAATATATTCACCATCAGGTCTGTAACATGTCCTAATTTTCACCAGAATCTTTGAACCAACATAAATACATGACCAAGATTGCTACACGTATAATAATAAAGAATGAGAAAGTCAGAAACGAAATCACAGCTAAGATTGTTTAGGCCCTGGATCTTAAACTATTTGTGCGTATTAAACATCAACATTGACGACCAGCTATTAACTGTCAATATTGATAACAAAGTTGATAATGATTTTGACAACATTTTGAAATATAAATCTGACACTAGGGTTTATACATACAAAAAGATTAGAGGATACTTTACTTCATACGATATAACTTATGATGTAACGTTAGATGTGTCCTGTCATTTTGCAAATGTTGACAGTCGTGACAGCCAACATGACTACACATAAGTATAACATATTTTACCATCGGCACTGTCATCTTCTTCATCTTTACCCTCAAGTCTCAACCGAACTCTTTTGGGGAACAGTTCCTGGATTTGTCCCCACCGTTGCTGATTGACCAATGTTTTTGTTTTGGATGCATGACGAGCCCAAGTTCCGATTCTTGTCCTACACATCGGACATAACAGACTGGCCTCCTCGACATTTTGTTTGAAACACGGTCTACACAGTTCATGATGGCAGGGCATCGTGACCGGCTCGATAAGAATACACATACATACTGGACAGGTACAATCTTCCAAGGAAACTCGCGATGTTTCCACAGAACAGGCCATTTTCTGTCAATTTTCGCCATACGAACTGGCGCGCACCAAACCGGAAATGCTGATGAAGAATCCTGGGATACACTTCCGGTTTAGGGAGTAATCATTGAACGAAATCAATGGCGACACACCATCACTGTTTGCAGTTGCTATAGGTGTGATATTTAACCCTCCTAAATGTAAATACCGTGAATACACAGTTTGGTTTTGAAGCAAATATGCCGTTATGTTTCCAATATCATATTCAATATTCGCAATTTCGATTGAATGAAAAACATGAAATTGTATAATGTACATACGTTCCTCGTTAAATGAATAAAAAACAATGGACGGCTTTGTATCACGAAATTACAGTGTCTATCCATTCATACTAAAGTGAATGTCGGTCGAACTAGAACTGTGCACTCCGACATTTGGGGCTGTTCACCATACTGTCTGGTAATAATTACTGGACTGTCCGATGGTAAATGGCCATCATTATTTTGACGTCATAGTCACTCCGTTATTTATATATGGACTGAGTATTTAATCCTATATATAGATACTATTTTCCCAGTAGCTAATCCCACAGCATATACATGAATACCAAAGAAACGTGAAGCTAAAGGGGCCCTTGAATTTCTTTTAAAACGAACAACAGGTCAGCAGTACACCGACATGATTCTTTGTGAGGACGGTTAACAATCCTCACTTATGCAGAAACTATTTCTCAATATTTTCTCACAAAACACTCGAAGATATAGTTAAGGATTACTGTCGACAATGCACACATACTTTTCAAAAACAGAAATCTGTCGTAACTAACAACACAATTTATTCTGCGGAGTGTATTCATCACTCTCACGCACACGTGCGGTGTAGTAGACTTGGGAGACAATGCAGGCCTATGTGGCCGCTCACTGGGCGTGTTGGGTGATATTTCAGGTATGCGCCATGTTTACTTACAACCAGCGAGGTCGCCATGTACTGCTCCCCGTGACGTAAATGTACGTCAATTTGTGAATGAACAGGTGCTCCCGTCCTAGTCGGAGCCACGTGAACTGCTGTATGAGTGGCAGTTCTACTACAGTTCGTCACTATACGTCCTGCGGTTGGGTAGCTCAGTGGTAAAAGCTTTCGCCTGTTACACCGAAATCCCCGTTTCGATTCCCAAAATGTGTCCATATTTTTCGTGCCAGCCCGAACCGTGGTGTGAGTGGTAGGTCTATTATGGCTCGTCGCATTACACCATGCTTCTGGGTAGACTAGTGGTTAAAGCGTTCGCTTGTTACTCTGAAATCCCAGGTTCGATCCCCCCAAATGTGTTGAGTTTTGTTAGTGAATAGTAAATCTACAATAGTTCGTTGTTAACTACAAATTTAACCCGCAGTTGGGTAGCACAGTTGTTATAGTACTCGCTTGCAACACCGAAATCCCGACTTCGATTCCCAAAATGTATTACATCCGATATAAGTCCATATTTTGTGTCCACCTGAAACGTTGTGTGAGTGAGTGGTAGATCTACTATTGTTCGTCTTATAACTTGCGCTTGGGTAGCTCAGTGGCACGGATGGCCCAGTCGTCTAAGGCGCCGCAATTCGCTGTGCAAAGTTGCGTCCCTTGGGCACGCCAGAAACCTATGATTGTTGGTTCGAATCCCGGTTTGTCAACATCATCACCGAAGTCTGATCCCTGCATCACTTCGGGCTTTCCTGCAACATTTAGCTGACACGCCGTGATACAACTGGACTACTGTTAAAAGCGGCGTTAAACCCAACTCACTCACTCATTGTATGCATTGTTGTATGCATTGTTGATGGTTTCTCTGCCAGAACCAAACTCGCGTTACACAATATACTCCCCAGAAACAACCAACAAAATACCCAATTAAATATACAAACCTACAACAACAACGGTACTTATTACAGTCACCATCACCATGGTGACAATAATAATAAACCGAACGAAGATGAGAATGTTGATGACACCACCATCATTACCCGCATCAACACCACTACCCAAACCGGCTTCATGGTGTGGTTGTTATTGGTTTGTTCGCTCCAGGATCAATCTTGCGCTTCCACATTTTCGCGCACAATATAACCACAACACTTCACTGTCTGCTGGGCCGTTGGGGTAGCCTAGTGGTTAAAGCGTTCGCTCGTCAGGCTGAAGACCCGGGTTCGATTACCCACATGGGTGCAATGTGTGAAGCCCATTTCTGGTGTCCCCTGCCGTCATATTGCTGGAATATTGTTAAAAGCGGCGTAAATCCTCACTCACCTCACTCACACACTCGATCACTCACTCACCCCATTCACTCGATCGATCACTCACTCACAGGCCGTGTATGATACAGTGTATGACACTACAGACAGAACCGCCTCCGTGGTCAAGTGGATAGACTGTCTGCCTTGAGAGCGAAAGGTTGGTGGTTTGATTCCCGGCTGCGTCATACCTATTTAAAGGTGTTAAAAGATAGAACTTGTTACCTGCTTGGCGCTCAGCATTAAGGGGATAAAACAAGAAATGGTCGGGTCGGAGACAGTGTGCTGTGTGTCAGTTGGTTATCCTTGTTAAACTCATTGGTATATCATTGGTCTACCACCATATAACACCAGCATGTCCTGGCTAACTGTTTGATTGGCATTCTATTAGTTGAGGAGTAAGAAAACGTACAACTTTATGGATAACAACTTCTGGTTTATTGCACCGCGACGTTTCGATGTGGATTCTTACACCGTCATTCCAGCTTGATAACGATGTAAGAATCTACAGTAAACTACGGTTATAACGAACTCAAAGGGACCACTAATTTTAGTTCGTTATAACCGTAGTTCGTTATAAGCATATATATACAGCATATATACATCAAATGGCCGGGACTAAAAATAAGTTCGTTATATCGGTCAGTTCGTTATATGCGTGTTCGTTATAACCGTAGTTAACTGTACATCGAACCGTCCCTATATGCGATAAACCAGAAGTTGTTATCCATAAAGTTTACGTTTTCTTACTTATGCCCTGACTAGTACAAGAAGACACACACAGGGCCGCACGTACGTCTCTATGTAAATGACGCGACGTTAAATCTCGCCCCGACTCACCTCACCTCACCTCACCTCACCACAACAAACACCTAATCACAAGACTAGTGAATGCTTGGTGCGTACGGGATATCACTCTACCTCATTCATAGATCATAGTAAAAATATCATGAGCTGATCTAACATTAATTCTCTATGGTGCAGCCAAAAGGAAAATGACTGAGCACATGTGTATTAAGCAAGTCTGTCTGTGGCGCACCTCTGTATGAAGATACTCCCTAACGACCTCAGAGAAAAGCTGAAACTATATCGCTCATCACTGATTCGGTGTCCGGACATAGAAACCGATCTCAGGGCGATAGACAGTGTTGAGGCATCAGTGGTTCAGATCCAGCTCCCAGACGAGAAACATAACATGCAACGCCCTTAAAGGTCAGTAGGTCAACCACGTGATGTATTGTTTGCATCCCTTCTGACGCAGATGCTTAGTCTGGGTTTTCTTGTTAGAACATATTGCACTTGGACGCATATATCCTATTAACGAACGGTAAGACACGGGCCCAGTCTATCGAATGTCAATTTTGCTTAATTCTGACACATGCGAGGCATATTTAACCGCCTTCGTTGGTTTATGTATATAACGCGTACACGTGTAATGATACTAGTATGTCCGTGTGATGTCCCAGTTCACGGCATTGGAGTGATTCTGTTCTTTGTTTTACACACACGAGTCAAATAACTGTAAATGTTTGACACCGCCGCGAGAAGTACGGGATTTTGTTGGCTATACCTTGTTATTATACTGGCAATTAAAATAAAATTACACTGCTTCACTTAGATAGTTTGTCTGTTGTTGAACGCCGCATACTCATCAATACTCCAGCTATATGACGGCGGCGTGTAAGGAATGGTCATGTATTCGGGTCTGGACCAGACAAGCCAGTGATTGACATCATGAGCATCGATCTAAGCACTTGGGATAGGATGACATGCAATCAACCAAACCACCGATCCATTTAGTCGCCTCATACGAGAAGCCTGCATGGTGTGCTGAATGGGGACCTATATTTTTACCCGGAATGCCCACGACTTATCTTATATGCCCTCTGGATATATCGTGTATGCGGATTATGTACAAGCAAACTCGGTTGTATCACGTCACCTTTTATGCACATTAATAGTCTCAGGTTCGGGCTTCGTCATTTCCAACTTTAATATGATTATTTCTCCCATGGTGAGACCGGTTGTCATTATGACTGAGTGAGTGAGTATGGCTTACGCCGCTTTTAGCAATAGTCCAGCAATATCACGGATGGAACACCCGAATTTGGCTGGACACATCGTATCTATGTGGGGAATCGTCTTTGTGAGAGAACGCTTTAACCACTAGGCTGTCCCAACGCCCCTAGTCACAAAGACCGTGGACTATTGACTGTCTTGAATGAGTTAGACCCGTTAAGATCCGGGGTAGAATAGGTCTTCAGCAACACGTGTTTGCTGTAAAAGGCGACTATGGTTGACGTAACAGGCGACTAACGGGATCGGGTGGTTAGGCTCGCTGAAATGTCATCGTATCCTAATTGCCATCACTGGATTGTCTGTAGTCTGTCTTACAGACCCTGATACAAATATATATCACATACAGCCCATGCAAGTCTATAATGTTTGGCAAGTCTAGATCACTGCAGGAAAATTAAGAGAGTCACTGGGCTCCTTTTTATTATATTTTTTTTAAGGTAACTAAACAACTGGTTTTTCATGTACGATATGTTCATTTCAGAGACTAGATTTTAGTCTAGATTGTCTGGTCCATACACGATTATGTACAGACTGCCGTCATATAGCTGGAATATGTCTGAGTGCGGCGTTAAACAACAAACAACAACTTGAATGAGTTACAACAAAGAGAGACCCGTCACTCGGGCTGAACTAGAGTGATCAAGATTACTATGCTCATGTCATCAGCCACCGGGCGGACCGCACCATTCCCCACCTCACTCACTTTTGATTCCTCTTTGTACTTTGCTCTGAAGACGGGGTATTGCTTTTGTGTTGTAGTGAGCTATGCCACCGAAAGTTGTTTGGTTGGTTGTTTTGTTGTTTAACGCCGCACTCAGCAATATTCCTGCTATATGACGGCGGTCTGTAAATAATCGAGTCTGGACCAGACAATCCAGTGATTGATATCATGAGCATCGATCCACGCAATAAGGATCGATGACATGCATCGACCAAGTCAGCGAGCCTGATCACCCGATCCCGTTAGTCGCCTCTTACAAACAAGCATAGCCGCCTTTCACGGCAAGCATGAGTTGCTGAAGAGCTATTCTACCCCTGATCTTAACGGGTCGCAACCGAAAGTAGAGAAACGATCCCGAGGTCACATGGTCTGTTTTTCGTAAATTCAATTAAAAAACCTTTATTTTTGAAAAATAAAACTGCCATGAAGATAGAATACGACATACGATCGAATTTTTTGTTATACGAATATTTCTGGCAATTACTATAGGATATGTATGTTAAATGCTCTAGGACATGACTAACAAATAATATAAGTGCATCCAAATATGCTAGAGAACACCGAGGCAGGGATTATATATCCCCCCCCCCCCCCCCCCCCCCCCTATGTGCCACGCCCTCACATTATATATCACCGCAGACAAAGCAGCTGGCGAGGGGGTTATGGTTATCTAAGGTCCCACCCATCCGGCGAACGGGTGACTTTGATGTGTGAAAGGTTGAATTGTGTTCATACAATGAATGCTCCCCGCGGCCTAGGCATCAATCATGTGTTTGCGGTATTCACATTACAGATGAAGGGGTTTTCGTCCGCTTTACTGTAGCAGTACGTGACTCAAGAGTTCTGATCGTCGATTATATATATAGACTGTGTAAATTGGGTTAGCGTTTCAAACCATGCAACGTTTAATAAAAGTAGGAATTGTTGAAGAATAATCCATGGCAATGCCTGACAACGTTTTTCTTTGAAGCTGTGTTCGCATTAATATTTGCGTTTATTTTGATACATGCAGTGTTCGAAACAGCTGTTGCCCGCAAGCCAAATGCCAGTAACTTTTAAATTTGGCAAGTAACATTTCCATTAAGCTGGCCCGATTGTCTAGTTGAAAACTCCATAGTCAATACATATTTCTTCCTTCGAGCAAGAGCGCCTCCGTGGTTTAATGGTAGAGCGTTCGCCCGGAGAGCGGAAGGTCCGGGGTTCGATCCACAGCCGCGTCATACCAAAAGACGTTAAAAGATGGTACTTGTTGGTACCCTGTCTGGCGCTCGGCATTAAGGGGCTAAAACAAGGACTGGTCGGCTTGGAGTCAGTATACTGTGTCTGAGTGGGGTATTCATGTTAAAAACTGCGGCATGGTATCTCAGTGAGCTAGCACTATAAATCGGCATCGGTCCGGACTAGTACAAGCAACCACACACACACACATACACGTGCATCCACGTCGCTATATAAGTGCAATAATCTTGGACGCGACGTTAAACCCCATTTCACCACCTCCTTCGAGCCAAGTCAGTTAAAGCATCATTGTCAATTTCCTTTATTTCGTAGATTATCGGAAGTGTTTGGGGCTAGTGGAATATGAAGAGGGCTTGCAATATAACAAACACTCCTGGCCAGTGAACTTAAAGAAATAATACAATGTTTACATGAAATGCAAATCTCAAAGGAATGTTTCAGTGTATTAAGCCGATGCGTTTTAATGGATATGCGTTATGGAAGGTCCGGGATTGAACAGGTCTCCAGCAACCTGCATTCCGTAAAAGGCGACTGTGCTTGTCGTAAAAGGCGACTGTGCTTGTCGTAAAAGGCGACTGTGCTTGTCGTAAAAGGCGACTATACTTGTCGTAAAAGGCGACTGTGCTTGTCGTAAAAGGCGACTATACTTGTCGTAAAAGGCGACTGTGCTTGTCGTAAAAGGCGACTATACTTGTCGTAAAAGGCGACTATACTTGTCGTAAATGGCGACTGTGCTTGTCGTAAAAGGCGGCTGTGATTGTCGTAAAAGGCGACTGTGCTTGTCGTAAAAGGCGCCTAACGGGATCGGGTCAGGCTGGTTGGCTGGGTTGATCGTATCCCAAATGCGTTGATCGATGCTCAAGATGTCAATCACTGGATTGTCTGGTCCAGACTCGATTATTTACAGACCTCTGTCATATAGCTAGAATATGACTGATTGCGGCGTTAATCAACAAACAAACAAACAAACAAAACAAACACTACACTGAATACCTGCGCAAGAAAAAGAGTCCGTTGTAAATACGCATTTCAGTCAAGGTAATATAGAGATAAACGTATCCGTTTACAAATGTGGAGGTTGTTCGTCGTTGAGTAAACACAGTAACACGATAACGCGTTCGGCTTTAATTGACATTTAGCAGCGTTAAATCAACGATTAACCACCTCAAAATTGAAAACAGAATAGGTTTATCTCCTAATTGATCCATGATGTTAAAATTCTAATTGTAAAACTATTAATTATAACTGTAAGTCAGATATGTATTTGTTTTGCTTGAAGTATGAATTTTTCATTAATCAACATTTCTAAATTTGCATGTTTTCTCTTTTCACACAAGACCTTCAAAGTGATAAGATCCGGGTTACAATTTGACTCCAGCTACCTATGCTGCCGTTAAAAGTTTACTTAATGGACCGGGTGGGCAGGCTCGCGGTGACTTTGACTTTGGGTTTTCGTTCCAACTTAGGAAACGCCGTGACAAAACGGAAATATTCTCTTTAAGGAGGAAATAAACCAAGGTCGAATCTTCTCTTTCCATTACATCACTGCTGTGTTATTTTTCAGGTGCTAATAAACTTAGAACTAAATATTATATTGATTTGTCACTCTTTGCAAGAAAAAAGGTACCAGGTAACATCCAACGTACTGCACTGTAGTATGCGGAATATACCAAAAGACGTTAAAAGATGGTACTTGTTGTTATCCTGTCTGGCGCTCGGCATTAAGGGGCTAAAACAAGGACTGGTCGGCTCGGAGTCAGTATACTGTGTGTGAGTGAGGTATTCATGTTAAACTGCGGCATGGTATCTCAGTGAGCTAGCACTATAAATCGGCATCAGTCCAGACTAGTACAAGCAGCCACACACACACGTGCATGCACGTCGCTGTATAAGTGCAATAATTTTGGAAGCGACGTTAAACCCAATTTCACCATACCTAGTATCCGGAATACCACTCAGTCCTCATTCACTGTCGCGCGTCGCTGCCCATGACGTCACTGTTCTATGTGTACGCAGATTTATCCTGAGGTTTCATTCAGTGATATTCTCGTTCCATACCTAACCAGAGCGTTTCGGGTCTGCGCATAGACTGGTTACCTGCAGCTTTTGCACGGCATCCCGTTTTGATGTGTATAGACAGACTGTTGTCGTTATATTTTCGGAATATCCCATATTTCGTCGACAAGCACCACTCACCCCTTCTAGGTTATTTTCTTGAGTGGTGTCAGTCCGACAAGAGTGATGTCCCTTCTTTAATGTCTGTATTTGTATCTGTTTCCCATCTCCCGCCCGCACTGAATTTTCATTCCGACGTAAAATAATATAAATGTCTTTTATCTCAATTTTCCCCGTCGCTCTGAAAATGTATGTCCCAATGTGATAAATAGAATACTCCTACCATTGCTCTCTCATACACAAAACCTAGGTCAGCTTGATCTTTCTTAAGGTATATTTATTAAAACTTCGTTTCCGAAGCAAAGCGCTCCGATCTACGTCATAAATTAATTTAACGACGATTTCCAAGTGTTCTAAACTATAAAATTCCATAAATTAAGTTACACATTTTCTTTTTTTCTATTTATTCCGCCCACACACTTGTTGGTTGAGGTTGGAGATGGGGGACACATGAAAAAATAAGGATGGCGTGATGTAAGGGACACGAAAACTATTTCTTATGATAACAACGAGATATCATCTCTGTATTTTGTAGAGGTCCATCTGTGTGTGCAGGAACGTGGACGAATATGTTCGTGTTCAAACGGAACAACACGTCAAGTGTCAATCCAATGAAGCCACAGTAAAATATAATCTCTGACCTCCAGAAAATTCTATTATGTGTTGTTCTTGTTGATAGTCTGTCACACATACATACGTCAGACGGCAACAATTCTGGTGATTACGTGGGAATTCGGGGATGTCATACTTTCTCATCTGTCCGGAGCTGTGGAATTTCTCAGACAGCATGACTCGGTCATCATGACATTTACATGATTGTAAAAACATTTGAATGTTTGTTTGCTTGTTGTTTAATGAAGCACTCAGCAATAAATAACTCTATGACGGCAAGCCGTAATTAATCGAGTTTCGACCAGACATTCCAGTGACTGACATCATGAACATCGATCTACGCAATTGGTATACGATGACATGCATCAACCACGCCAGCGAGCCGATCCCGTTAGTCGCCTCTTACCACAAAAATGGTTGCTGGGGGCTAAACAGCCGGGGAAAAAAGTATACACTTGAAAATTGGATTGGACTAAAAAATTACAAATGTTATCAAAACGTTACTTGACCGGAAATAGTCGCCGAAACACTGCAAACTAGTCGCCGAAAATGCAAACTAGTCGCCGAAACACTGCAAACACTGCAAACAATTACTACACTCGAATAAAATATATTTCCATTGATAAAAACGTTTCTTGTTTGTTGCATTTTTAGCCACCATCAAATTTTTGTGTAACACTTTCTTTTGCCCCGCCGCATAATTGTAACCCCGAATCCCCACGGCGCGATTGTACAAACAACCAAAACATGGTGAAACATGATAGTTTATTATTATCGTTGATACATTGATAACATTGCCATTTTGCCAAGTTCGTATAAAAATATCAGAAATATGAATGTTGTTTATAATGTTGACGTAGCTTTATCACAGAATGAACTGCTTTTAGCAGTAAAAATGTATGTGAAATGTTACGTATATGTACAGACAGTTTTTATTACCATATGAGAAAATGATACCAAGAGCAAATAAACTTATACCTGCGCCGACTTTGTGGGTCTGGGGCCTCGTATCTCGCTATACAGAATTACGTCCCTTAGCCGTTCCATGATCCGCTGTTGCCACAGGTTTTTCCGAACGTTACCGTAGTGAAATCGTCCAGTTTAATGAATTTTGGAAGGGATTTCTGTGCCCTTTCCGCTTTCTCCCCGACGTATATAACGGTAAGTGTGACAGTTGGGTGAGAGCGAAGTGACACAGGTCTAAGACGTTTACCACTTCGGTGAAACCCACGAGCACTGGTATGGTGCAGCCACACCAATGATGAGGGCGAAACTCGGATTCGAACCCACAATCATGCAATCAAATAACTGCACCGGTGGCGTGATATCCGTTTTAACGGGGTCCGGATTAAAGAGGTGTTACACACATGTATTTCATTTTGGTGTATAACTACGCGGCGACATGGACAAGATTATGCCCATGTCGGAAATACCGATTATGATGATGATGATGATGATGACAGTGTTCGCGTTGAACAACATTTGTGTTACATCACGGCGCGTCATTTTCACGTGGGAGGAAAGCCCAAAGTGATGCAGGTCTCAGACGTTTACCACCTTGATGAAACCCACGAGGAAAAAGGTGCTGACGAATCTAGAAACATAATCCGAGCGAATAAGGGATTCGAACCCATGATCCTAGGCTCCTGGTACGCCAAAGGGACGCAATTTATGCAAAGAGAATTGCAGCACTTTAGACAACTGAGCCAACCTGTTACCCGATGATGACCATGAATGTATTGACGACGATAATGGTATTGAGTATTATCATTCGGATGAAGAGATCAATGCAGCAATGATGATGATGATGATGATGATAATGATGATGATGATTTTGACGGCAGATGCTTCCGATGACGATAACCTCACATGCAATCTTCTGTACAATTTATACGGTTCTATAAAATCGTATACCAAACAAAACAGACGTTGCACAAAAACACTTGTATAAGAACGATTTTTGTTTGTAATGAAAAACAGTGCATAGAGTTGTATACAAGCGTGGTTACCCGAGACAATTTACAACAGAGAAACTACCACACGTGTAGGGATAACAACTTCTGGTTTATGGCGTGTAGCTAAATTCAATGAACAGAAGTTGTTACCCATAAACTTTCTTATTCACTCACCAACTTCAAGAATACCAATAAAACCGTCATCACACTTATATGGAGTTCGACACAAGCGGAGTGTGATAATAAGGCCATAGTACAGATTCCGCCTTCACCACCTCGCCTACCTCGAATTCCATATATCAATTGTATAGGTACGCCCTGTGTTACAAATGTTACAACGTGAACAACTGGTTCACTGTACCAGTGCAAACAAGACGTACTCCACACAGTGTCATCTTGACGCTCTAATTGCATAAATGCTCATGTTGAATTGTTTTCTCAGCGTTTTCCCGTTCTGTCGACATATTTCTCAGAATATATGAAATACAAGTCTTTGTCATATTTACCGTTATCACTAAATATGATATAGAAAATTCATTTGTTTTGGAATAAAATAAATACCGGACACACGGTGTACGCATTGTCTTAAAAGCCAGATCCGTACTGATATACATCTTGAAAATATAGGGGTTGCGTTTCTTTTTTGAGAGAGTGTAGTTACATTACGACAAGACAAAGAGTTAATATTTGATATTTTTTCATTACCTGTCATACAATTTCATTTCAAATTTCCCCAGTGATATGAAGCATACAGTATTATCCATACTATATGATTGACACTTGATATTGTATAAGGGTTCAACGTGTGCCCAGTTGCATCTTCCCTAGGCAGGGGAATTAACTGACTGTAGAGGTCCAGTTTCCAGCCTTGCCGAACTGGACTGGAATTTCTGGGCTCGATTGTAGCGCCACCAGTGGCTATTACGAGTTATGTCCCTTCTATTTCCCTCCTATTGACCAATCAGATTCCAACTCTCATATCACGTGCATTTGCGTCGCCGTCATATAGCTGGAATATTGCTGAGTGCGGCATTTAACAACAAACAAAGCTTTGCATGCTTTGCAAATCCTGCAATCAAACGAAATCGGTTTTGCACGGTTGTCGATTTCGTTCCGCGGGTTTGATTGGACAATGCATAGACTCGTTAGTCCTGCCAAAAGATAACTCTTTATTCCAGCCTAGTTGGGCAAGGGTGGAAACTGGACTGTCCTAGTCAGTTAACTCCCTTGCCTCGGGAAGATGGCCCAGTTGTGCTTGTTGGTGATCTTGGAGGGGACACAAAACTTTAAAAAGAGTCCTACCCCCTTACGTTTGGGAATAATTTGCCGAAGAAACAATTCTTTGACGCACTCTTCCTAACACGCTTGATATGTTACATCAGTATTGCCGGGATGCATCCCATCTCAGTTCTTTGTCATCTCTAATTCAAATATCACATGATTATGCTGATCACATACCCATATATGGGTGAAAATTAATCTGTTGCCTAGCAACATCAAGTCATGGGTACAAATTAGTCTGTTGCCTAGCAACATCAAGTCATGGGTAAAGATTAATCTCTTGCCTAGCAACATCAAGTCATGATGCTGCCGGAAGTGGCTGTTTCTCCTCTTCAATCACAGAAACTTCCACATCTAACATTTCGTCTCCCGCCATCTTGCGGCAGGCTTTGAAAAGGGGGAGAACCCCTCCTAGTATTATGACAGATCCTCCCACGTAGAATGAGGTATCGTAGGAGCCGGTTATATCGTAGAGGAGCCCTGAAACAACGATGATGTAATGGATAACACAAGAGTGAGTGAGTTGGGATTGACTTCGCTTTTAACAGTATTCCAGTCATATCAGACAGTGTCAGCTTAAAGTGGGAAGTGCAGGTCTCAGATGTTTACAACTTTGGTGAAACCCACGAGCACGGACATGGTGCTGACAAACCTAGAAACATAATCAGGGCGAATCGGGATTCGAACCCACAATCGTAGGGACGCAACTCTGAATTGCGGCACCTTGTATGACTGTGCCCCCATCCCCCACCCCTTAAAAAAAAACGGAAAAAAAACCCAAACCAAAACAACTACAAGAAATAAACTAACAAACAAAGCAACTAAAAATGAAAATAATAAATATAATCCCAAATAAACCCAGATAAACATGGGAAAATCACTCACCAGCAAATGGCCCGCCAATCATCTGTCCTAGGGCCATGAAGATCATCAAAAAGCCATAGCCATTTGCAAATCTGTGGATCCCAAGAATCTGGACCAGAAGCGCGGGAAGAAGGGCTCCAAAACAGGCAGTGAAGAAGCCAAACAGCGAAGACAGTGTCACCATGGCAATGTAACTGTTGCTTAGCACCGGATAGAAACATGACGTCATCCCACTGAGGATGAAGCACACTGAATACACCATCACCACATTCACTCGCGGATGGTTACCAAACGAACCAAGAGCAAAGCGTCCAATCAAATTGGCGACACCAATAGATGACATCAGCATTGAACTCTGGCTTTCTGTGCGTCCACTGACCTCTGCAAACGCCATGAGATGAAGATATACGATTGAGAGTCCAAAGCAGACGAGAACGTTGTTACATACTAAAAGCAGATACGCGGATTTTCGGAAAGCCGTGACGTCAAACACTTTCGTTTTTTCTTGTCTAAGCTCCACACGCTTCACGGGTCGCAAGACAGCTCCACACACACATATATTCAGGCACATGGCGCCCAGAAGAAGAAGAGAACTCCGCCAGCCGAACGCGTGGCTTAGAAGCGTAATGATTGGCGGAAAGATGAACGTGCCTACACCAACTCCGGACACTGTTATTCCAGTAGCGATGCCTCTGTATTTCTCGAAGCACTGAGCCACTGCCGTGATGGCGGGAATGAACGAGATCCCAAACCCCATACCTGAAACAGTTAAAAGAATAACATGAAATTGGTGAAAACTAAGGACGCATCATGGAATGGGGAATGTTAGAATGCGCTCAAGTAGGTATGGAGGCACGAGTGGCTTAGGTGTCTGAAGCGCCGCCATTTGCTGTGCAGAGTTGCGTCCCCTGGGCACGCCGGAAACCTACGCTCGTGGGTTCGAATCGGTTGGGTAACCCAGTGGTTAATGTGTTTGCTCGTCATGCAGCAGACCCGGGTTCGATTCCCACATGGGTACAATGTGCGAAGCCAATGTCTTGTAACAACAGGGATGATTCATGGGAAATATGTGCCAATACAAAACTGTAAATTCAGGTAAATATAGGTCAAGGAGTCTCAGTGCATGTATAATAGTGACACTATTTGCAAATAGGCGGTTAACTTTAAAGATTTTTGTTCGTGGAATGAAAAGATGTTGAATGACCTTAAGAAAAAGCAGCACAGAACTACTATACACCTGGTTGTAGGGATTTGTACAATAAAGGGATCCATGTGTTAAATCAATAAGAACATTGAAGAAACGACTGGAAACATATACAGAATTCATTGAGAATCTCTTCTATGCCACAAGAAGCGTCATCATAAAAATGTCCAGGCTCGCAGATAATTTGAGATCGCGAGAACCACGGGAATGGATGCAGGGGTTAGTGTAGGTTTGCAGAACCCTGGAGATACAGAGGGTGTGTGAGCCTCATCATTGGATGATTTGGTTTGGTTTGTTTGTTTGTATGTTGTTTAACGCCGCACTCGGCAATATTCAACCTTTATGACGGCAGTCTGTAAATAATCAAGTCTGTACCAGACAATCCAGTGGTTGATATCATGAGCATCGATCCACGCAATTGGGATACGATACGATCCCGTTAATCGCCTCTTACGACCAGCATAGTCGCCTTTTACGGCAAGCATGGTTTGCTGAAGACCTATTCTACCCCGGATCTTCACGAGGTAAGCTTCGTTGTATCTGGTGAACGGGAATTTATTCATTACATTTAATTTTTGGATGTTTTGTTTCACATTAAAATATTAAATATGTTTAAGCAAATAAACTGTGGGCCAAAAGTAAGTATACACCCATGTTTCGATGGTGACTCAAATGAAACACACATGAAATAGTCGATGGTCGTGAGTTTTGAACGGGTATCATAAACTGATAGATAGACAGATAGATAGATAGATAGATAGATAGAGATCATGGATATTTGGGGGTATTTGTTATAAAATTGCAGTGTGTACAAAACTACATGTACATTATATTTTGTTTTCATAATCATTGTATTAGGAGTGAGTGAGGATGGTTTTACGCCGCTTTTAGCAATATTCCGGTAATATCACGCCTGGGGACAACTGAAATAGGCTTCACACATTGTGCCCATGTGGGGAATGGAACCAGAGCCTTATGCCTGACGACCGAACGCTTTAACCACTAGGCTACCCCACCGCCCCCATTGTAATAGAAGCGAGATATATAGAAATGTTATGCTAAAAAAACAGTCGACCTTTTCAGTAGTGGAGGTAAAATTATTGCCTTACAACGACAACAATGAGAGCATTCAAGATTTTTCTTTTTCCAAAGAAAATATATTCCAGACCAGGCATATACTAAGAAGTTGCTTTAAAATGATATTTTTTTTGGATCGCCATTATTGTGTTTAATTAATTTGAGATGAGGTATAATGGGGTTACACGTCACGTTCAAGATTATTCCACTTTTATAGCGACGTGCATGCACGTATGTGTGCGTGTGCTAGCCTGCACTTACGCCGGTTTGATAGCGCTAGAGCGAGTTTATCATGGATGCAATACTCAGATACATTATGCTTGTGGGTTTGGTTTGTTTGAAGTTCAATCAGAAGATGTTTTAAGTTGTTTCCAGTCAATATGCGCGAATTCCGTTGTTGACCAATCAGAAAGGTGGCTGTGCGTTACTGCTTAACTATGTATTGTGACTGTAAATACCACGTGACCAAAACCAAGATCTTAATCTTTCTAATAGGAAGATCTGTTATTACCCGCAAAATCAGGGCGAATACAGGATTTGAAACCAACTGTCATAGGTTTCTGGTACATCTGAGGGACATTGCCCACTTCTGCTCAACTCTTGTGAACTCTTATGTACTGTGCTCATCGCATCGTGGCCTCTTGGATGACTGGGTCCACCTTGAAACTTGCTGCTACTACTACTACTACTACTACTACTACTACTACTACTACCGATGCTGCTTCTGCTGCAATGGCATTTCTGGTGTCCCCCGCCGTATTGCTGGAATATTGCTAAAAGCGGCGTAAAACCACACTCACTCACTCACTCACTCTGCTGCAATGGCTACAACACTATATATACTGACAAAAGGTGTTGTGTGGGAAATATTTTATGGACGTTTCCATGGGTATTACGCCCGACAGCTTGGGCACCCCAGAATTAAATATTCTGCCAGTTTGAAGTATCTAGTATTATTCCAGACTTCGCAAAATTGTTTTCCATTCATAATACCTATTTTTGGTATCGAATTCAGCTTTTCAAATGTTTTATGGACGGCATAGTTCATGTTGAGGGTTGGTTTAATTGCTTGAGAATGCATAATAATCACTTACTCACTCACTCACTCACTCATACTAACATGGAAAACACAAGGGAACGTTTGAGGGAACAGTTTAGAAAAAGTTCAAGAGAACAGTGGAGGGAAGGTTTGCGGGAACATTTCAGGGAACGTTTCAGTGAACATATGATGGAACGTTTGCGGGAACACATTCAGGCACGTTTGAGCCATCTTCCCGAGGCAAGGGCGTTAGCTGACTATAAAAGACCAGTTTCCAGCCTTGCCTAACTAGACTGGAATTTCCAGGCTCGATCGTAGCGCCACCAGTGGCAATAACGAGTTATGCCCCGACCATGTCCCTCCTACTGACCCATCAGATTCTATCTCTCATATCTCTTGTATTTGCTTCAAATAAAATGGCGGCGCCCAGTGAAGACGATCTGATTGATAAACAAAATGGCTATTGTAATAAAACGGGTGTTACCTTCTCGAAGTGCATCACATCACGTGAACACCTTGATTAAAAACATTAAACAATATGCAAAATATCTGTCGACGCCCAGCTGGTTGTACACATGCTTTGCAAACCCTGCAGTCGACCAGAATCTGCACGTTGAAATCCATGTTGTTTACAAACCGGATATCTAGTTCGTTACGCAATTATAGTCAGTTAACTCCCTTGCTTGAAGGACTCCATAGGGCACCATAGAGAACGCTTGAGGGGACACCATAGGGAACGCTTGAGGGGGCACCATAGGGAACGCTTGAGGGGGAACCACAGGGAACGCTTGAGGGGGCACCATAGGGAACGCTTGAGGGGGCACCATAGGGAACGCTTGAGGGGGCACCATAGGGAACGCTTGAGGGGGCACTATAGGGAACGCTTGAGTGGGCACCATAGGGAACGCTTGAGGGAACACTATAGGGAACGCGTGAGGGAACATTACAGGGAACACTTAAAGGAACGTTTGAGGGAACACTACAGGGAACGCTTGAGGGAACACTATAGGGAACGCTTGAGGGAACACTATAGGGAACGTTTGAGGGAACACTATAGGGAACGCTTGAGGGGGCACTATAGGGAACGCTTGAGGGGGCACCATAGGGAACACTTGAGGGAACACTATAGGGAACGCGTGAGGGAACACTATAGGGAACACTTAAAGGAACGTTTGAGGGAACACTACAGGGAACGCTTGAGGGAACACTACAGGGAACGCTTGAGGGAACACTACAGGGAACGTTTGAGGGAACACTATAGGGAACGCTTGAGGGAACACTATAGGGAACGTTTGAGGGAACACTATAGGGAACGCTTGAGGGGGCACCATAGGGAACGCTTGAGGGGACACCATAGGGAACGCTTGAGGGGGCACCATAGGGAACGCTTGAGGGGGCACCATAGGGAACACTTGAGGGGGCACCATAGGGAACGCTTGAGGGGACACCATAGGGAACGCTTGAGGGGACACAATAGGGAACGCTTGAGGGAACACTACAGGGAACGTTTGAGGGGGCACCATAGGGAACACTTGAGGGGGCACCATAGGGAACGCTTGAGGGGACACCATAGGGAACGCTTGAGGGGGCACCATAGGGAACACTTGAGGGGGCACCATAGGGAACGCTTGAGGGGACACCATAGGGAACGCTTGAGGGGACACAATAGGGAACGCTTGAGGGAACACTACAGGGAACGTTTGAGGGGGCACCATAGGGAACACTTGAGGGGGCACCATAGGGAACGCTTGAGGGGACACCATAGGGTACGCTTGAGGGGGCACCATAGGGAACGCTTAAGGGGACACCATAGGGAACGCTTGAGGGGGCACCATAGGGAACGCTTGAGGGAACACTACAGGGAGAGCTTGAGGGGACACCATAGGGAACGCTTGAGGGGACACCATAGGGAACGCTTGAGGGGACACCATAGGGAACGTTTGAGGGGGCACCATAGGGAACACTTGAGGGGGCACCATAGGGAACGTTTGAGGGAACACTACAGGGAACGCTTGAGGGAACACTACAGGGAACGCTTGAGGGAACACTACAGGGAACGTTTGAGGGAACACTACAGGGAACGTTTGAGGGAACACTATAGGGAACGCTTGAGGGAACACTATAGGGAACACTACAGGGAACGTTTGAGGGAACACTATAGGGAACGTTTGAGGGAACACTTTAGGGAACGCTTGAGGGAACACTACAGGGAACACTACAGGGAACGTTTGAGGGAACACTATAGGGAACGTTTGAGGGAACACTTTAGGGAACGCTTGAGGGAACACTACAGGGAACACTATAGGGGACGTTTGAGGGAACACTACAGGGAACGTTTGAGGGAACACTATAGGGAACGCTTGAGGGAACACTACAGGGAACGTTTAAGGGAACACTATAGGGAACGTTTGAGGGAACACTTTAGGGAACGCTTGAGGG